TTTAAGCATTCTTTTACTTTTCTTCTTTCTCTTTTTTTGTCCCACTTTCCTTCTTCTCATTTATTTCTCTCTCTATTCTCTCTCATTCTAAAACACCACTCTCATGCCAATAATAGATAGTTTTTGATGCAATGAGCTATGCAAGCGGAATTGAAATTTTGAAATTGCGGTTTGAGTTTAATCGTTATTGAGAAAAAGTGAGGATCGATCATTAAGATTTCTTTGCATCTCATACCTCTATTTTCTGCACTTGATTTCTTTGTTTGTTAAACTTGAAGTTTGAACATGGTGTGATGAGATCTTTAATTTTAGCGAATTTCCTATAAAATTCTCTACTACGTTTTAACTCGCTACATAAGTGGATTGCTTGTTGTTTTTCTTAATAAACACTAAGCATTTGCTATTGCAATTTGCTTTGTTGGGTGCACGACTTGTGTCAATCTTAGTTGCCGAGCTGCCATTGCCGTCGATTGAGAGGGCTGAAGAGGTGTTCCTATTATGTTTCTAGGTATCAAACTCCGATTAAAGATTCAAAAACTGATAAGTGCGACGTGATCTAGACAACAAGTGACAGAGGCATACCACAAAAGAGAGTGTTCGTTTTTTACAAATAATACCAAGGCTTGAACCATGATCAGAATTAAGAGGGAATGTAGAGAAGTAAAAGAGGAGGAGGAAAATGGAACTAACGACAAAATAAAGAAGAAAACAAACGGTATACCACAAGCAAAAAAAAAAGATACTTAAAAAAAGGTGGAACCCATAAAGGTTAATATGGTTGAAACACCATGAGATAGGGAGTGTTTTAACTATAGTGACAGTGGAAAAAGCACGACCCAAAGTTATTACATGGACTGAAAATAACAAGTTTAGAGTAGGGGAAAAACAACTTTTTCATTTCGGCAAGAAAGAGATCACTTTCCATAAACTAGAAAATAAATGAAAATAAACTATTTTTCTTGAAAGTGATTTTTATGAAAAATATTTTTCTTTATCAAGAAATTTTCACATTCTTATATGTTATGTTTTTACCTCCCATAAATGCTTATTTTATATTAGGGTTAATACCAAGAAAAACTTCAAACCGGTACACTCGTGATTAATTTACCCTGAACTAAATTTTTTACCACAAAAAACTCCAAACTTGCGCATTTGTGACAAATTTACCATCTGTTAGTTTCCGTTACATTGGATTAATACTATGAAAAATCACAAACCCCTCCATTAAATTGGATTAATACCACGAAAAATCATAAATTGGTAAATCTGTGACAAATAGAGGGACAAAACTCTAAACTGGTATACCCGTTAACTGCCACGTGTCATCCAACTCAGCAATTTGATGGTAAAATTTAACGGAAGCTAACGGAGAGTAAATTTGTCACAGGCATACCAGTTTGGGATTTTTGGTGGTCAAACAAGTGTACCGGTTTGGGGTTTTTTGTGATATTAACCCAAAAATTAGTTCTGAGTAAATTTGTCACAAGTGTACCGGTTTAGAGTTCTTCGTGGTATGAATTCTTTATTTATTTATTTATTTTATTTTTGAGTACTTGGCTTTATAATTTCGTTGTCATAATGGGTACTCCCAGCATTGGCGGGGTGGGATAGATAGGATTTAATGTTGTCCAGACAATAATAATTAATCACTAGGATTTGCTCAAGTGGCCACCCTTTTTACTTGGGAAAGGGGAGGTGGGGAGTTCGATTCCCCACATTCTCAAGAGGGATTAGGGGTGGGAACGTGTAGTTTTAGGTATGGATTTCGATTTTCACGCTCTGTAAGAGTCAGGACAAAAGTTTGAAAGTGAGTTGAAAGTTAGAATAGGATAGATAAAAAAAAAAAATAGACGATAGTAATCACATTGGATTTTCCGTGATTAGAGGAGCATGTAATGAACAGTAGTCTCTTTCTCTCTCTTAGTTTTCTGATTGCGTCAGGTGTTACAAGTGTGTCATTTTTATTTTATTTTATTTATGCCACATTAGTTGGTGAGAATATAAGTCACGGGTGTACTTATATATATATCTATATATTAAGATTGTATATAGTCTCATGTGTCCGATCAATGTCCCCCCGATTTCAATTATTGTATACGCATGGTCAGTCGTTAATCATTATCTTACTTTCCCTCATCATTCCCTTTGCGCGTCCCCTTTTTATGAGGCTTAAACTTTACTTTTTCACTTTAGTTTCATTCTCGAGTTGATCCTTAAGGATCGGGAAAATTACCCGATTTGTCCTAAAATTATGATACAGATACCAATTTGCCTGTGAACTTTCTAATTTTGACAATTCAGTCCTAGTATGCGAAATTCCAATGTACTCTTTCTGGCCTGTTTTCGCAGACGTGACAATATAGTAATCGCCTATTGTCCACGTGAGCTATTTCTGACGAAAATTGACCAAAATGGTTACATTGAAATTCCATGTAAAAATTTAAGATTGAATTGTCAAAATTGAAAAGTGTAGGACCGAATTAACATCCGTACAAATAATTTATGACTGATTAGACAATTTGCACTTAATAATCGACTTATAGTCAAATTAAATTTAAGAAATAATTAGGTTTTCGTACCTTAGAAAAAATGGTAACCACTTCGATGTCATTATCAGATGTCATAGTGCTAATTTTTTTTTTGTGATCTATTATTAATCATGATTTAATGAGAACTCCTAGCGACATTATATTAACTATTTTCTTATTTTGTTAGCTTAAATAAATGAGCATTTAACCGACGTTGCTCGCTATTTAAGAAATGTCAATTAATGAAAAAGATTAAAAAAAATTTGATAAAATATGATATCCATTTGTCTATGCAGTCCTTTTGGTAAATTTTTGTCCCGCAATGGAGCGCGAGTATATATATTTATTTTTTTGATGAGAGTTTAATTAAAAACGTGGAATGAGATGTGTCCGCTAAAATATACTAATATATTAAAGAGGTTTGGGAAAGCTGACAGTGCCTTTTTTAATCTTTAAATAACATAATTAGCCAATGATGTGGAAATTTAGTGGGAAATATTAAACTAAACTAATGTTCATCATGTTGAACGTGACCATAGGGTCGCACTAATCAATTTTTAATGTAGAGGTAACCTAATCTATAATATTGGAGCACAATCCAAACCTGACATGAGCCTTCTTAATTAATGTTTTCAGATTCTTAAATTAATCCCGGTACTTTGACCAAAAAAATAAAAAATTAATCCCGGTATTCCTACGTTACTTAAATGGCGAGCGAGTCTGCTCGTTTTCCTTGCGATGAGCACTTCACGGAGTGAGATCCCGAACACATCGTGGGGGGGGGAACGGGTTCTCGGGATCCCCCGGGTAGGCGGACTAATCGGGGCGCGCGAAATCCGGTTCGGACGCCACCCCTATCGCTGCTGAAACCGTCGCGTTTCGTCTCTCTGATGCCCGTCTTTTAACGAGATCAAAGCTCTGCGCATCTTAATTCGCCGAGCTCGTGAAGATTAAGACCGATCGATCATAAAGAACACCCGCGATATCTACACCATATAGGTTCTTTCCGTGTTGCTGTCGCTGTTCATATGCCAAGTCGAGAAAACGGAGCGATTTCATACCTCATATGAACACGAACGATCCCCGCGTTGACAATGTCTGCCTTTTCATCCATTCACATCGCGAGAGTCCCACGTCAATGCTTGATTTCAAATCGAGCATGAAGAGTTGAAAGTCTTCTCCTACTCTCTCTCACTTTTTCACGTGTAGATATTTCCAAACCACGACGTTACTTTTTTTAAGCGTTTTACTTATCAATTTAAATAAGCGGTGCCTCTAGAAGTCTAACAAATTATAAATTCCTTTTTCCGTTCGAGAGAAAGATAAGAAAAAACCGGACGGTGTTTCTGAATGAGCGGCGCGTTCTTGCAAGGCGCGAAAAAAAGGACATTTTCAAATGGAAAAGATAAAGAGCCGGATTTCTTTACTCGTAGATCTCTTCTATTTTCATATTTGGTCATGTAGTTTTATTTTTTATTCCTATTTATTGAATTTTTAGCGATTGAGCAAGAGTTTCATCGGCAAAAAAAAAATAAAATAAAAACCGGATTTCTTTACTCGTAGATCTCTTCTCCCTTCTATTTGGTCATTTTTTTTGTTCTTATTTATTGAATTTTTAGAATTGGCAAGATTTCATCGGCCAAGGTAAACTTACGCGCGTTATTTAATTTTATCGTGCCGGTGGCGGCCCGGTTTCGACACCAGCGTACGATTAGATTACTTTACGGTGCCGGGCCACGTGTCTCCAATACGCGCGATTGAAGCTACTAAAAACTACGAAAAAACGGCAAAAGAGGTCTCCATCCGCTACGGTTCACGAGATCATGGCAGGGTCAAATTTGGACTTCGGGGGAGTGGTGGTGGGCAATAATTGAACAGCGGGGTCCACCGGCGAGAAATCCTGAATCAGCGGACAGGGACAATCGATTTCGATTCGATTCACAAGCGGGAAATGGTGACCCAAGCGAACGTGGGTGGGGTCCGCCACGTCCACGTCGGATTGCCCCAAGAGGCGAGCAATCAGGATCAACATTTCTCCAAGGGGCATAATTGCACGAAACGACACAACGGGGTTACTTCTTTTTACGATGGATGCGAGATCGCTTTCGTGACGATAATGCGTAATCCATGGGTAATCACTTCTTCTTCTTCTTCCGTTTTTTCAAAACAAATATTGGACAGATACATCCAATAAAGGCTTGACGGCCCCGTCCTCGGGCCCAATACAAAGATTTTTCGCGTGAAATTGGGTCCAATAAGGAATATCGAAAGACTCCTGTCTATTGAATAATATGAGGTCCAGGCGAATCCGGGGACGATGAAGACATCGGCATTGGTGATCTTAGCCCCTGTGACTCCGATTTGGACTACGACGTTTGACCAACGTCGGATGATACTTGAAATTAGTCTGTCGCTCATGAATTGATAGTCCGTAATGGTATAAAGAAAGGGAAGGATCATCCTCCTCGTACATGTCGAGCGCCACTATATGAAGCCCCTGGTTTGCTACAGAACGACCTCACCGACAGTGATCCCTTATCACTTCTAGCGTGGACCAGAGGTCCAACCATTTCTTGTTGCATCTTCGTGTTTATAGGAATGAAGTCCATCTATCCCAAACGAAAGAGCGAGAGAGAATGTTTGACTCTCTGAGTCTCGACTGTTTGGTTTTTTAAGCTGGAAGTGGCGATGCCCTCATTGGTTGGTTTCTGATCCATCTTATTCCTAGCTAAGCATGTTCAGCCCCGCATTATCTCTTGAAGCATGTTGTTGCAAACTAAAACGCCGAATCCATTTGCTCAATTCTGACCTGATTTAGCCTCTCTGCTCTTGTGCATGGATCACTAGTGGTTCGCTTGTACAAAAATGGCCAGGGCAAACAACTATCAGAAGCAAGAACCTTAAGAGCTCAACACTAGTGTCAAGTATCAGCAAGTTTAGTGGGGGAAAAAAAAGAAGAGATGGGTTTCTGGTCACTGTTTGAAGTGGCTTCGATGCCGGTTCTGCAAGTTCTCATCATTTGTGTGATGGGAGCTTTTATGGCGACTGGTCGCTGCAATCTTCTCCCTGCAGATACTAGGAAGGCCCTGAACAAGTAAAAAGCTGAAAAAACCAAGTACAAACTAGCATAGATGGTGTTTGTTTAGGAGTTGGAAGAGTTAAGCGGTAACTTTGTGTTCTGAGGGTCTGGAATGTTTCATTGTTGGCTAATTTTTCTGCTGAATGCAGATAGTGTTCATTGCCTTCACACCCTCGCTCATTTTTGCCAGCCTGACTAAGACAGTTACTCTTCAGGATATAATCTCATGGTTAGGCAATTTTGTATTTTCTCGCTACTAGCAAATTATGTCCTCATCCATCCTATAGAAGTAGAAGGTGCATATTGGATTTTGTTTTCTCATAGCTTATCGAGCCGTTTGTGGAGCCTATAAATCTCTTGGATGTATTTGGTCCTTCACTGTTCTGAACTGTTCGAATTTTGTTGTAAGGTGGTTTATGCCCATTAACATTGGAATTTCCTTCCTCGTTGGTGAGGTTCTTGGATGGATACTCGTAAAAGTATTGAAACCGATGAGTCACCTAGAGGGTCTGATCATTGCTGCTTGTTCAACAGGTATTCTTATCTGAAAGAATATGATGATCCGGTTCCTTGGCATTGTTGTTTCACATGAATTGAAAGACAAATTAGTTTGTTATTGGTTACTTAACTAATTGCCGTAAGGAAACTTGGGAAATCTACCCCTCATTGTAATCCCGGCGGTCTGTGATGACTGGAATACTTGCCACTCCGCTGGACTCTCATATGCATCTTTCTTGATGGCGGTATGTTCCCTTCCTTGTATGTTTAAATCACATAGAAATTGGCTTCTTAGTAAAAGAAAAACAGGGATGTCTAGTAATACACGCTTTCATTGTTCGCCGTCTTCAACGTGATCAAATGATGCCTCGAATTCATGTTTCTGGTTTTAGCTGCATTGAGTCTAATGTTTCAGTGTGGGTGTACTTTCTTCTCTGGTGTCTAAGCAGCTTGGTGGTTTCTACATCTGGACTTACACTTACCAACTTATCCGAACATCGTCCATGAAGTATAAAGCGATTCGAGCTGCCAAGGAGGCCTCGAAGGCGCCTAACATTGATCCAAAGTCCGGTTCAGAAACACACCTTCTCAAGGAAAAAGATGGAGAGCAACAAGCTATTGTTAGTGTGCAGTGGACAAAGGCTAGTGGAGATGCAGAAACACAAGCTGTGAGACTCATTCTTTTCTTTCCCATTCAACTTGTGGCGCAAGAAAAGTTATATTTTCGTTGCTCTATTTACATGAGCAATTGTATTTCAGATTTCACATGGGGATTCAGATAAGACCAATACATCACTCTGGAATAAAGTTAGAGAACCCCTTCACCAAGTGCTGGAGGAGCTAATGTCACCTCCTACACTTGCTGCAGTGAGTTTCGTCAAAATTCTCCTGCATTATGCTTGCGAAGCGTAATGTTTTCTAGTTAAAGGACACAAAGTGACAATTTTCTCTATGCGAACAGATAGTTGGATTCATTGTCGGGGCAATCACATTCTTGAAGAACCTCATAATCGGTGAGAACGCGCCCCTTCATGTGATACAAGACACTATTCAACTATTAGGGTAAGAAAGATCAACCTTATGAATTGTGAATTCCGCAAACCTTAGTTTATCTCAATGATTTTGGCCTTAAACTGAAATTCTGTGAAGCAGAGATGGGACTATTCCTTGCATCACACTTATCTTAGGAGGCAACCTCACTCAACGCAAGATTTTCTTGACCCTCCATTTTCTCTCAAACAGAAATTTTGGAGTTTATTGATCGATTGTTGTGTGTGAACAGGTTTACGCTCTTCGAGAATCAGACCATGGGCTATCGCCAGGGTGATTTGTGTGTGGTATGTGATACTTCCAGTGATTGGCATTGGAGTCGTGAAGGCTGCCAGCAAGCTTGGCCTTCTGGCATCAGACCCATTGTACCACTATGTCTTGATGGTTCAGTTCTCACTCCCACCAGCCATGAATATTGGTAAGTGTAGCTAACTTCTCCAGAGAGAAAGGAAAAGGAAGAAAAGAATAGAAGGTAGTCAGATAAAAAGGTCATGAAGTCAACTTTATTAGTTTCAAGTCGAGAGGGCATTTGATTCGGTATGTGAAGCAATGCAGATTTCTTGTACCTTTGTCCAATTTTTCTGAAGTTGAAACACGTCTCGGCTAGTGACTCGCGCTACTACATATTCAGTCGAGCAACATAGACAGAATCTTGATTGTGAAACGAGTATATAGATTGAATCTTGATTTGGAAACATACAGATGGAGAGCTAAACATAGGAGTGTAAGTGCAGTTCAACAAAGTAGGGCTAGTTCACTAAGAATTTTCTTGCTATTGATTTTCTCAAGAAAGCTGCTGAGAGTTTTGTGAAATTTGCAGGGACAATGACTCAGCTCTTTGATGTGGGTCAAGAGGAGTGTTCAGTGCTCTTCCTCTGGACATACTTGTTTGCAGCCATAGCTCTCACTCTCTGGTCAACTGCGTACATGTGGATCTTGTCCTGATATTATTTTTTCAGGCTAATTGAGTCAGACTTGGACACAGCCAATTTTGCCGGAACTTTGGGAAGCTGAGCTCGTAATTCATATAAGAATTATAAACTTCATAGTCATGTACGCCAACAACAGATACATAGTTGACAGTGCCGAAAACAAATGTCCGGTGATTTACCTAAAATGCTGGCGAAACAATGTAATGCTGAGTCGGCAACCTGCAATTCGAAAGTTTGAGCTGATAGAAAATGATGCTGCTTTGGTTTTTCAAATTGAAGGCAGTCGAGCAACGGCATGCTCTAACTGGAAGTTCACGCATCACCATTAGAACTACCAAGGTCTCAGAAGAGTTGACTGAATATGGAACTGGAGTCCTAGGATTAATCGAATATAACGCTCATCTTACACTGGTACCATGTCAAACTAACGGGCTTTCAAATACTTTGAAAAGTTCGGACAAACATGAAATGTTGGGTATGTTATGTATCATCGACAGATTATCATGATGCTTGTGCTGAGGTTATTTCTATGTAGCCTACTCTAAAATTTAAAAAGAACCTTCGCCGAAGTTCAAGAATTTCAATCAATATGAACTTTAGAGTCCATTTTAATTTAAACACAACTATTGACAATTGGTCAGTTCGTTGCTTAGATTAAAGATGACTAACGAGACTTCACCATGGTTCCTAGTACTTCAAACCAGATGAAGCAAAATTTATATACTATGTACAAATCAGCAAAGAAGGGTGTATACCGCATAGCCTGGAAAATACAAAGGCCTAAATCTGTTCAGTGTCTGTTCACTTGTGCTAGATTGGCGTCAAACGTGCTTCTTCAGCGTTCTCTTCGCTGACTTCTGAAGCCATTTGTACAGTTAGAGTCAACTAGCAACTCAACCAAAACCCCAATCATTTCTTTGTTCTTTTCTTTGTTTTGGCCCATGTAAGTCTTGGTCTTGTTGGACGAAGATTCCAACTCTTTTCTTATGCGAGAGAGAGTCGTGCAAACTTGTCCGATAAACCAAACTACTCGAGTATCGAGAAACGGTGACTCACATTAACCTTTAGTCTTGCCCAACAAAAGAAAAATGGGCGTAAGCTTTATACTTTATTCTATGGTACGACCGGTTTTATGAATGCATTTTTCGCGAAATGGGTCAATCCGATAATCTCCGTTATTTCTCGGAAAGCACTCTCCTATGGACATTTCTCGTTACGCCTAACCTAATTCGATATGAGAATGAAAGAGCGATAAGCGTGTTAGAGTGGTCGCGCTCATCAGTGTGGTAATTAGTGATGTTCATTATGTCTAGCATTGTAGGGCCAGTAGGACCCCGTGTGCATCAATTCTACCACCTTTTAGTCCTATAATGTTTCCCTCTTTAGTTCGACAACGACCGGAAGAACTCATTATTGTCCTGAGTAATCTTTCTCTCTTAATTTTTGCTCTTCCTTAATTACATTGCAATAATGCAGCGATCGCAGGAAGGTTCGGATGTTCCTTCCTTGGGCTGCTGCTGAACCTTTTGGGCTCTCCTCAGTCTCGCCCGTGGTTTCATCAGACAGTCTGTAGTTTGGAGCTGATCTGAGTGTTATGGACGTTGTCGTTTGATCCTCGCCGGCTGTCTTTTGGGCCGAGCAACGCCGCGTCGGTTCAGAGCAGACGAGACAGAGTGTTGATGCGCTTGCCCGTTGGGTTTCTCCAGTCTCTTCAACGGTGAGTACAGTTTCTTCCGATTTCTTGTAAGTAGTGATGATGTACAACGGTTTCTTCCAGTTTTGCTTAGAAAAGAGGCAAGGAAGAGACTTTATTCCTACCGTCCGGCACACACTTTTTGCCTTTATACGTTAAGCGATTATTGACGATGAAAGTCATGACAAGGACGAGCATATCTCTTCAGAGAACGATGGCGGGCTTGGTAACGGGAGGAGTGGTGATGAGGGTGATCGCTATTTGAAAGCACTTTCCAATTGGAAGAAAAGACGCGAGTCTGGAAAGAGCAGCGGAAGTCTTGACCGAAAGGAGGAGCATGTCTGTTCAGAGAATGGAGGCAGGCTTGGTGATCGTGGGAGCTACGATGAGGGTGATCCTAATTTGAAGATGCCTCCCAAGATGAAGAAAGAACACAAGTCAATAGCGAGTGATGCAAGTCTTGACAGAAAGGACGAGCATGTAACTTCAGAGATCAAAGGCAAGCTTGGTAGTAGTAGGATCCATGGTAAGGATCATTCTAAATTGAAAGAGCCTTGTTTGATAAAGACAACACAGGCGGCTGGAAAGAGAAAAGAAAATCTTGACAAAACGGACAAGCATGTCTCTTCAGAGAACAAAGGCAGGCTTGGTAACAGTAGGAGTGCTGGTGAGGGTGATTGTAATGTGAAAGCACTTTCCAAGAGAAACAAGAGATCCGTGCCTGGAAAGAGCAAAGAGAGTGATAGAAGTCTTGACAAAAAGGACAAGCAAGTCTCTTCAGAGATCAAAGGCAAGCTTGGTAGTAGTAAGATCAATGATCAGGGTCATTCTAAAATGAAAATGCCTTGCTTGATGAAGAAAGCAGACGTGTCTGGCAAGAGAAAAGAAAATCTTGACAAAAAGGACGGGCTTGTCTCTTCAGGGAACAAAGGCAGGCTTATTAACAGTGAGAGTGGTGGTGAGGGTGATTGTAATGCGAAAACACTTTCCAAGACAAACAAAAGATGCGAGTCTGGAATGAGCAACGGATGTCTTCACAGAAAGGAGGAGCATGTCTCTTTGAAGAATTCAGGCAGGCTTCGTAATTGTGGGAACGATGATGAAGGTGATCCTCATTTGAAGGCGCTTTCCAAGAGGAAGAAACAACGCAAGCCTAGAAAGAAAAATCAAAGCCTTGACAACAAGGACAAGCATGGTTCTTTAGAGAATGATGACAGGATTTGTAATAGTAGGAGCTATGATGAGGGTGATCCTTATTTGAAGATGCCTTCCAAGATGAAGAAAACACACAAGTCAATAGAGAGGGACGGAAGTCTTGACAAAAAAGACAAGCATGTCTCTTCAGAGATCAAAGGCAAGCTCGGTAGTAGTAGGATCAAGGCGAAGGGTCATTCTAAAATGAAAATTCCTTGCTTGATGAAGAAAACACAGGTGTCAGGCAAGAGAAAAGAAAATCTTGACAAAAAGGACGAGCATGTCTCTTCAGAGAACAAAGGCAGGCTTGGTAACAGTGAGAGTGGTGGCGAGGGTGATTGTAATGTGAAAACACTTTCCAAGACAAACAAAAGATGCGAGTCTGGTATGAGCAACACATGTCTTGATAGAAAGGAGGAGCACGTCTCTTTGAAGAATTCAGGCAGGCTTCATAATTGTAGGAACGATGATGAAGGTGATCCTCAGTTGAAGGCGCTTTCCAAAAGGAAGAAACAACGCAAGCCTAAAAAGAAAAATCAAAGTCTTGGCAACAAGGATGAGCATGGTTCTTTAGAGAATGATGACAGGATTTGTAATAGTAGGAGCTATGATGAAGGTGAGTCTAATTTGAAGATGCCTTCCAAGATGAAGAAAACACACAAGTCAATAGAGAGGGTCGGAAGTCTTGACAAAAAAGACAAGCATGTCTCTTCAGAGATCAAAGGCAAGCTCGGTAGTAGTAGGATCAAGGGGAAGGGTCATTCTAAAATGAAAATTCCTTGCTTGATGAAGAAAACACAGGTGTCAGGCAAGAGAAAAGAAAATCTTGACAAAAAGGACGAGCATGTCTCTTCAGAGAACAAAGGCAGCCTTGGTAACAGTGAGAGTGGTGGCGAGGGTGATTGTAATGTGAAAACACTTTCCAAGACAAACAAAAGATGCGAGTCTGGAAAGAGCAATGGAAGTCTTGACAGAAAGGAGGAGCATGTCTCTTTGAAGAATGAAGGCAGGCTTAGTAATAGTATGGACCATGATGATGCGTGGATGAACCCAAAGAAAGCTGTTGGTGGTGGCACTCCTGGGCGTCAGATCGGTAAACTCTTTGTATCAAATACAGAAATCAGTAAAGGAAGTAATGGCACCATTGTCCTCGAGGGCTCCTATGAAGGTCGATCTGTTGCAGTGAAGCGCCTGGTCCTGGCTCACCCCGATGTTGCTTCACAAGAAATACAGTCTCTGACGGTATCTGACCAAGACCCGAATATTGTTCGGTTGTATGGAACAGAGTATGATCAGGATTTCGTGTATCTTGCTCTGGAGCGTTGTGCTTGCAGCTTAGATGACTTAATACGGGCACATTCAAATTCTTCAGAGAAATCTGTCTTCCCTCATGACCGAGCATCAAATGCCATGCAATTGGATTTAGTTGAGGGGATGATACCGGATGTTAACTTGTGGAGGGAAGATGGCCATCCCTCACCTTCGCTACTCAAACTGATGAGGTAAATTTTTAGTCATGACATGTGAAAAAAAGGTTTGAACTGAGAGACTACTGCAGTATTTTGCTTCTGGTGGCACTCCTTAAATGGATTGTTGCAGACTTCTTATTGTATTTTGTGCTTGCTTGCCGAGGTATTACTTTTACCTGACTCTCAAGCATGTTCACAGAAACAATCTCCATGCCTCAATCAAACTGAGTCCTTTAGTCCTCTCCTTTTGCCGGCACTGAATTAGTTCTCAGGTGGCAATTTCCAAGTCATACACGAGACAGGCAATTATTAGGCCACTAACTGGCCTCAAGTTACCCTGATGGATTCGATATCATGGGCTGAGTTTTGAACCTCACAAAGTTTCAGTTTCATAAATTAAGGCCAATCTTTCTATCTAGGCTGAACTCGGCGGTTTCTTACTATGATACTCAGTTAGTAACCATTTGGTGATAAAGTGATAGTTCCCATTTTGATTAAATTGGGCTCACAGGGGTGGCAATTCGAATTGTGTTACCTTGTTCATCCCGGTCTTTATTGTTATTTCATGTTTGCCGAAGTAGTTTAAATTCGATTCAATATGAAACAACTGGCTTTTGTAGGAGGGTCATGTAGTATCAGTTTGGAGTCAGTCGTCCTCATGTTGTTTTAGATTTGGGTTTCTCCCCGTGAGTTTGAGTTGTTCTCTCGTGTCATCTGAAAATTTGCCACCCAGCTTCTTGCGGCAGTTGACATAATACGAAAATATCCTTTGCATGTTTTTCTTTTGAAGCTAGTGTTAACGAGTATGTTTTCTCCCGTCATCTTGACATTCTTACCATGTCTCATTTCATTTTGTGTTGGAGAAGTTTCTGTCAATCGGGTATAGCTATCAACCAATGCCTTCAAGTAGGATTTCTGTTCCTAGCTGCTGGTTAATCAAATTATTGGTAGAGGGCACACGACCACCTTGTTCACACTTTCCTTCATTGATCTTGAATGTCTAATTAATGGAAAACATTGATTGGTTCAGACGTCTTGTTGGTTTAAGTCCTAAGATCTACTCTATGTTATCATTCAGGAATGTGGTCTCAGGGCTCGTCCATTTGCATCGCTTGGGAATAAGTCATCAAGACTTAAAGCCTCAAAATGTTTTGATTACTAAGGATGTATGTGCCAAGTTATCTGACATGGGCATTAGTAGACTCCTCCCTGGGGATACATCTTCCTCAGAATATCATGTCACTGGTAAGTCTTGACAGGACCATCGATCTTCTTTGCATTTAAGATTGATCCATGCAGGTCTGAATCTGTTAGGTGATACTAAAACCTTCAGCCGTATAATTTCGGCTGTAAGAGCTGTCTTTTTTTTTTTTTTCTTGAAGACGACCTTATATTGAAACTTTGCTGTTTACATTGTGGTATGATTTTGGAGATCTAACAGTTTTTGCCGCTCTCTTTTGATTGACTGTTGATTCAGTAATGCCACCTCTGTATCTGTCTGAGTGACAATGGCTCTTTAATGAATGCAAATACCCGATGTCTATCTTGCAGATTGTGGCAGATTGGGATTGCAAGCGTCTGAACAACTTTGTCATGCGCAGCAAACGTGCTCAGTCGATGCATTTGGTCTTGGTCGTGTCTTGTTTTTTTGTGTCACTGGCGGAAGACATCCATTTAAAGACAGTCTACAGGGCGATAGTAATATCGAGAACACAATTGATTTGTCCCTGGTGGAATTCATGCCAGAAGCTGCAGATATGTTCGCTCGTTTACTGAACCCCAATCCTAACCTGAGGTGAGAGTACGGCTATGTAATGTGCATGATGTCTTTTTCTTTGTATCCATCGATGGATTTTGTGCCAGTCATTTATCGACTCTCAATTCCATGTAGCACTCAAATCTTCTGTGTATCTGTTCCTTCTAGAAGTACAATGACCAAACAACATTGAACTATAAATGCCATTGATAGTTACATGTTCCAAAGTAAGCCAATTACAGGTGAACCGGGGTTAGATAGCTACTGTAACTTGTCAATACTCGAAGATGCACCAACCAATCATTACAAAAGTAAAATTTAGGGGACTGAATTTCTCAGGGTTATAACCATGTTTCTTGCTAGTACAGGATGTCAGAAAAATCGTTTTCACTTTCTGAGTTTTCATCAAAGATGCTTTATCAGTTACTGAAGTCGGTCTATCTCTTGCGGCCGAACAACAAAGACATTTGCTTTCTTAACTCTTCTAATATCTGGCAGGCCAAGGGCATCGGAGGTGCTTCACCATCCACTATTTTGGAATTCAAAGACGAGAATGTCCTTTCTCCGAGACATCAGTGACTGGGTGAAACCGAAAGCTAGGGGGGGAACTGATCCTGATCTTCTGGAAAAATTGGAGAGCATTGCTCAGCGTGTTTTTGACGAGGAATGGAACGGAAAGATAGATTGTGAATTCATTAAGCACATGCGCAAGTTCAGCGCCTATGAGTTTAAAACAGTCAGAGACCTGTTGCGAATTGTGCGGAACACGTTTAGCCATTACAGAGAACTTCCACCAGAAATTCAGGTATGCATCTACTTGCCAGTGCTACTAATGCAGGAAAATTTTGCATCTATGATGACATGGACATTATTGATAACATTATTATCATCAATGCGTTGAGTCATTATTTCACATTCGATATTTATCTATCTCTTTTTACAAACATTAAACACGTCCTTCGCTGAACTATCAATGTAAAGATATACATGATTACCGCAGCTGAATCTCGGCAAGGCCTATAGATTGAATTCATCAGCGAGCAATAGTGTGAGTTTATGGCTCATATACGATATCGCACTGATGGTTGGTTTGTGGCAGGACATCGTCGGATCATCTCCTGAGGATTTGGACAGCTATTTCGCTAAACGATTCCCCAGACTCTTGATCGAAACATACAGATTCGTCTCCATGTGTGGCGAAGATGTACTCTCTTGCTTTCCGGAGTACTTCAACCAGTGACCACAACAGTTTATCGGCAGTGCACTTTGCAATAATTCGGGTCGATGACCACAATTTGCAGGATGGTTGATTTCGGCATCGCATATAAAGATGTCATTACACTCTTGGAAGCATATTTATTTATCAAACCTGTGTGGACATGTTTGTATGATGCATATATGGTATGTGAGAGAGATGATAATTAGCATGCACGATCAGCTACAAAATATCAAGCCTCTCTTTTCATGGGTAGGTTATAATAAGTCCAATGCGTTAATTGCCATCTCGAGGCGACTGATTCATGCCTAAATATGCCTAAGAGAGAAAGGCAGAATTTTCAGAACATGTTGATACTGCAATTTCTGCTGCAAAAGTTCTTTTCGAAGTAATAGAATGGAGTTAATCCAAAACAGAATTGAGCGATAATTAGCATATTTAAATTGATCTACTAAATGATGTAAGAATCAGGATATCATGATGCTTGTGTTGAGGTTCCATGTATCCTACTCTAAACCCTAAAAGAACTCATTCGTGAAAGTTCAAGAACTTCAATCGATGTCAACTATAATGTCCATTCCAACTTAAACCCCACGATCAACAGCCGGTTAGTTCGTGTGATCATTCATTGCTTGGATTATATAGATGACCGACAAGGCATCACCGTGGTTTACTACTTCAGAAAAACCTGTTTACTATGTACAAATCAGCAAAGAAGGGTGTATACCACATAGCCTGGAAAATACAGAGGCCTAATTCCGTGTTCAGCGTCTGTCATTCCTTTTCTTCTTTTCTTCTTTTTGGCCGCCATGCAAGTCTTGGTCTTCCTAAACGAAGATTCCACTCTTTTCTTAGCGAGGAAGTATCGTGCATGCAAACTTGCCCGATAAATCAAACCACTTGAATATCAAGAAACGGTGAGACTCGCATTCAGTCTCGTCGGACAAAAGAAAAACCGACCTAAGCTTTACTACTTTCTTTCCGTGCCATGACCAGCTCTATGAGCGCATTTTTCGCGAAACGGGTCGATCCGATAATCTCCGCTATTTCTCGGAAAGCACTCTCGCTATCATCATTCCTCGTCGTACTACATCCAACTCATTATGATGATGAAAGGGCATCGCGCTTAGCGATGTTCATTAGTTCTAGCTTTATTGGGCCAGTGGTCCCTCAGTGCATCCATTGCACCACCTTTCAGTCCTATAATCTTTCTCTTTTCAGTTCGACAATGGTCGGAAGAATGTCATCATCGTCCTAAGGAATCTTTCTTCTTGATTTTCGCTCTTGCTTAGTTACATTGCAATAATGCAGCGATCGCAGGAAGCTTCGGATCTTCCTTCCGTGGGTTGCCGCAGTGCCTTTTGGGCTCTCCTCAGTCTCGCTCGTGGTTTCATCAGACAGCATGCAGCTTGGAGCCGATCGAGTGTTATGGAAGACGTCTTCGATCATTCTTTCAGGCCGAGCAACACCGGTTCGGGGTTGGATGGGTCCGAGCCGGTGGCGGCGTCGGTTCGGAGCGGACAGGGCGGAGTGTTGATGCGGTTGCCCGTTGGGTCTCTCAAGCCTCTTCAACCGTGAGTACAACTCCTTCCGATTTCTTTTTAATATGTAATAAATTAGGGACAACTCCTAGAGAATTAGTGAGATTAACTTAGAACAGTTTCCTCTGGTTTTGCTTAGCAAAGAAGCAAGGGAGAGACTATTCTCACATTCCTGACACCCACTCTTTGCTTTTATATTTTAGCGGGAATTTAAATAAAACCCTAAAGTAGAGCCATTTTTTTAAAAAAAAAAGGGCTTCAAGTTTATAATGTTTCAAATAAAGACATGAAGTGACCGAGTTAATCTTAAATAAGGGTCTAATCTCGCTAGCCGTCCGGCATGTCACATGGTTGTTCTAGCCACCAGAGCAAGGGCACTTATGACCCAAAGAAATTATACGTAGTAATCTTTTGTTCTTTTTCTCTTTTTCTTTTTCGTATTCTGATAATTTAATCCAAAGCAACACAGGCAGAACAAAAGCAAGAAGCAAGATGGGGAAGAAATAAACAAAAGCCAAAAAAAAATTTGGGACAAAAGTGCCCTTGCTCCAACAGCAAGAACAATCATGTGATGCACTGAACGGTGACGATTTGGCCAGTCGGTGAGTGGTGGCACTCATTTGAGGCTAACTTGACTCTTTCGTATATTTATTTAAGATAAAATCTACTTCAGGTCCTCTTTTGAAAAAATGGCTTAACTTCAGGCTCTTCTATGAAAATTTCCTTATTTTAAGTGATTAACCATGAAATCTGTCCATTACGGACCTCCTTTATCCTTCCAAATATTATAGTATACCGAAATTTTTGGGTGAACTTTATTAGCGACCCTGATTTTTTAGTTAGGTAAGTGTCACTTCATATTTTTTCAATATTTACCTCTCTCATCCATAAGTTATTAGGTGTTTTTTCCCCTCAAACCATAAGTTATTAGTTTACTTGTATTTAAAATGATTATGACAAAAATGAAATTCTTCAAACGATTAGTGAATCTTCAATTTAAGAGAATAATCATCAATAAAATCAAGGCAAAAGTACACCACAAGTGCCATAACTTATATACGGCGATCGCTTTGGTGCCATAACTTTTTTTCGGATCACTTTGGTGCCAACTTTTTTGAAAAACGATCATTTTAGTGCCAATGCTGACGTGGTTTGCCGGAAATCCGATGTGGCGCTGACACGGCTCGCCGGAGAGGTCCACGGCTCGCTGGAGAGGTCCAGTCAGCATTAAAAACCAAAAACGACGCCATTTAGCCCGCTGACATGTACTTTTTTTAAAAAAATATTATATTATATTATATTAAATAAATAAATAAATAAATAATAAAAAAAAGAGCCCTGCAGCAGCGGCGAGGGAGCCCTCGCCGCTGCTGCCGCCAAGCCACCACCGCCGGGAAGGGCCGGCGGTGGTGAGCGTAGTGGTTGGCGAGGGTCGGATCTCGGCGAGGCGAGACCTCGCCGTCGCCGGGTCGCGACGCGAGATCTCGCCAGATCTCGCCGCGCCGTCGCGACGGCGAGATCTCGGCGAGGTCCGGCTCACCTTCGCCGGGCGAGGTCCGCCTCGCCTTCGGACAAGTGAGGTCCCGCCTCGCCCGCCGAAGGCGAGGCCGGACCTCGCCCGGCGAAGGCGAGGCCGGACCTCGCCGTCACACTGGGTCGCGACGGCGAGGCACGGCCTCGCCTTGGCCGGGCAAGGCGAGACCTCGCCGTCGCGACCTAGCGAAGGAGAGGCCGCGCTCGCCGTCGCGACCCAGCGACGGCGAGGTCGGCCTCGCCGGCCCGGCGTGGGCCGGCGACCCTCGCCGACCACTGCGCCCACCACCGCCGGCCCTTCCCGGCGCTGGTGGCTTGGCTGCAGCAGTGGTGAGGGCTCCCTCGCCGCTGCTGCAACTTTTTTTTTTAAATTATTTAAATTATTATTATTTTTCTAAAAATTAAAAAATTCGAAAAAAAACCACATAATTTCCACGTGTACAAGTCAGACCATTTTTTTTTAATATAAATGCCAGGTCAGCTTTTTAACCGGAGTCACTAAAGTGATCTATTTTCCTCCGACTTGACACCAAAGTGATCCGAAAAAAAGTTATGGTACTTGTGGTGTACTTTTGCCATAAAATCAATAACTAGTAATTTCTCCGTAAAGGCACCGTGACGGCATTATGAATGATCTCGGTGTTATTAGTGAATGAAGATGGTAATTCCTTCTTCAAGCCGGTGATGGTGGTCATGAAGTAGGAATTCCTCAAATATTACAAGAACATTCCACCTGTTTTTTACTATCCAAGCTAAACTCGGCCTTTTCTTACTATGAGACTCAGTTAGTAGTCATTTAGTTATAAAGTGGCAGATTTCCCATTTTAATTGAATTCGGCTTACAGGGGTGGCAATTCGTATTGTGTGACCTTGTTCATCTCAATCCTTATTGTCATTTCATAATTGCCGAATTAGTTTAAAGTCGATTTAACATGGATAAACTGGTTTTTGCAAAAAGGGTCATGTAGTATATGTTTTGAGTTAGTCATCCTCATGTTGTTCCAGATTCGGGTGTCTCCCTGTGAATTTGAGAAGTTTCTATGAATCGGGTCTAACTTTCAACCAATGCCTTCAAGCAGGATTTCTGTTTCTAGCTGTTGGTTAATCAATTATAGGTAGAGGGCACACGACCACCCTTTGTTCACATACCTTGCCTTCGTTGATCTTGAATGTCTGTTTAATTAATGGAAAACATCTTTTGGTTCATACGTCTTGTTGGTTTTAAGTCCTAAGATCTACTCTATGTTGTCATACAGGGATTTGATCTCAGGACTTGTCCATTTGCATCACTTAGGGATAATTCATCCAGACTTAAAGCCTCAAAATGTGTTGATTACTAAGGAATTATGTGCCAAGTTATCTGATATGGGCAGTAGTAACCACCTCCTCAGGGATACGTCTTCCTCAGGGTATCATGTTGCTGGTGAGTGCTCTTGACAGCTCTACCTGGTCCCTAGATCTTCTTTGCATGTAAGGTTAATCCATGCAGGACTGAATCTGATAGGTGATACTAAAACCTTCAGCCATATAATTTCGGCTGTAAGAGCTGTCTTTTTTATTTTGAAAAAAGACCTTATATCGAAAGTAAGTTGGATTACTCAATATTTTGCTATCTATATTGTGGTATGATTCTGGGGATTTAAACAGTTTGTGCAGCTCTCTTTGATTGGCTGTTGAATCCACAATGCCACATCTGTATGTGACTGAATGACAATTGCTCTTTGACAAATGCGAATACCCAATGTCTATCTTCCAGATTGTGGCAGCTCAGGATTGCAAGCGCCTGAACAACTTTGTAGTGTGCACCAAACATGCTCAGTCGATGCGTTTGGTCATAATCGTGTCTCGTTTTTTGGCATCACTGGCAGAAGACATCCATTTGGAAACAGTCTAAAGGGCGATAGTAAGATCGAGGAGAATACAATGGATTTGTCCTCGGTAGAATTTATGCCAGAAGCTGCAGATTTGTTTGATTGCTTACTACATCCTCATCTTCACCTGAGGTGAGAGTACCATGTACTGTGCATGATCTCTTTTTCTATCCTTCGATGGATTTTAGGCCAGTCATTTATTGACTCTCAATTCCCTGTAGCACTCAAATCTTCTGTGTAACCGTTTCTTCTAGAAGTACAACGACCAAACACTATTGAACCGCAAATGCCATTGACTGTTGTACAGATTCCCACGCAAGCCAATTACAGGTGAAATGTAACTTGTCAGTACTCGAAGATGCACACGCCAATCATTCCTAATGTAATATCTAGGGGACTGGATGATTTTCAGGGATTGTAATTATGTTTTCGTCTTCCAATTTTTCATAAAAGATGCTTAGTGAATCACTGAAGTCGATCTATCTCTTGCAGCCGAACAACAAAAAATAATCTGCATTCTGAACTCTTCTAATATCTAGCAGGCCAAAGGCATTGGAGCATGTCTATTTAGAGGACGAAGGCAGGCTTGGCAATTGTAGGAGCGATGATGAGGGTGATCCTGATTTGAAGGTGCTTTCCCAGAGGAAGAAACAAGGCAAGTCTGGAAAGATAAATCAAAGTCTTGACAACAAGGATGAGCATGGTTCTTTAGAGAACGATGACAGGATGTGTGATAGTAGGAGCTACGATGATGGCGATCCTAGTTTGAAGATGCCTTCCAAGATGAAAACACACGAGTCAATAGAGAGTGATGGAAATCTTAACAAAAAGGACGAGCATGTCTCTTCAGAGATCGACGGCAAGCTTGGTACTAATAGGATCAATGATGAGGGTCAGTCTAAAATGAAAGTGCCTTGCTGGAGAAAGAAAACACACGAGTCTGGAAAGAGAAATGAAAATTTTGACAAAAAGGACGAGCATGTCTCTTCAGAGAATGAAGACAGGCTTGGTAACAGTAGGAGTGGTGATGAAGGTGATTTTAATTCGAAAACACTTTCCAAGAGGGAGAAAAGATGCAAGTCTGGAAAGAGTAATGGAGGTGTTGACAGAAAGGAGCATCATGTATTTTCAGAGAATGAAGGCAGGCTTGGTAATAATGTGGGCAATGATGATGCGTGGATGAACCTAAAGAAACCCGTTGGTGGAGGCACTCCTGGGTGCAGGATCGGTAAACTCTTTGTCTCAAATACAGAAATTGCTAAAGGAAGTAAGGGCACCATCATCCTTGAGGGCTTCTATGAGGGTCGACCTGTCGCAGTGAAGCGCCTTGTCCAGGCTCATCACTATGTTGCTTCACAAGAAATACAGTCTCTGACAGCATCTGATCAAGACCCAAATATTGTTCGGTTGTATGGAGCAGAGAATGATCAGGATTTCCTGTATCTTGCCCTGGAGCGTTGTGCTTGCAGCTTAGATGACTTAATACTAGCACATTCAACTTCTACAGAGAAATTTGTCTTCGCTGATGACCCAGCATCAAATGCTACCATCAAGTACAAAATGCGATTGGATTCAGTTAAGGGAGCAATGCAGGATGTTAACTTGTGGAGGGAAGATGGCCATCCCTCACCTTTGCTACTCAAACTTATGAGGTAATTTTTATGTCATGAAATGTGAAAAAAGGGTTTGAACTATGAGATTACTGCACTATGTTGCTTCTGTTGGCACTCCTACAATCGACTGTTGCAGATCTCTTATTGTATTTTGTGCTTGCTTGCTTATATTTTACTTTTACATGACTCTCAAGCATGTTTACAGAGACGATCTCCATGCCTCAATCAAACTTAGTCCTTTAGACCTCTTCTTTTGCTGGCATTGAGTTACCCTGATGAATTCGATATCATGGGCTGAGTTTTGAACCTCGCATGTCTCAGTTTCATAAATTAAGGTCATTGTTATTATCAAGGCTGAACTGGGCGGTTTCTTACTATGATACTTAGTTAGTAACCATTTAGTGATGAAGTCACAGATTTCCCATTTTGATTAAATATGACTCACAGGGGTGGCAATTTGTATTGTGTTACCTTGTTCATGTCAGTCCTTTTCGTCATTTCATGTTAAACTGATATAGTTTAAATGCAATTCAATATGAAAGAACTGGTTTTTTAAAAAAAGGTCATGTAATATCAGTTTTGAGTTACTTGTCCACGTGTTGTTCCAGATGCAGGTTTCTCCCCGTGAATGAGTTCTTTCTTGTCATCTCAAAATTTGCCACCCAGCTTCTTGCGCCAGTTGATCAGAATACAGAATTATCCTTTCCACATTTTTCTTTTAAAGTTGGTCCTAATAGTTATTTTTTCTTTACTGTCGTCTTGACATTATTTCTTGTCTCCTTTCATTTTGTGTTAGAGAAGTTTCTATCAATCGGGATTTAACTGTCAACCAATGCCTTCAAGTAGGGTTTCTGTTTCTAGCTGCTGGTCATTCAATTATAGGTAGAGGGCACACGACCACCTTGTTCACAAACCTTGCCTTCGTTGATCTTGAATGTCTGTTTGATTAATGGAAAACACTGTTTGGTTTAGATTTCTTGTTGTTTTAAGTCCTAAGATCTTCTCTATATTATCATACAGAGATGTGGTCTCAGGGCTTGTCCATTTGCATCGCTTAGGAATAATTCATCAAGACTTAAAGCCTCAGAGTGTTTTGATTACTAAGGAATTATGTGCCAAGTTATCTGACATGGGAAGCAGTAAACTCCTCCCCGGGGATACGTCTTCCCTAGGATACCATGTCACCGGTAAGTGCTCTTGACAGCTTTACCTGGTCCCTAGATCTTCTTTGCATTTTAGATTGATCCATGCAGTTCTGAATCTGTTAGGTGATACCAAAACCTTCAGCCATATAATTTCAGCCGTAAGAGCTGTCTTTTTTTTCTATAGAAGAACTTATATTGAAAGTTGGATCACTCAACGATTTTGCTATCTAGATTGTGGTATGATTTTGGAGATAGCTTCTATCGCTCTCTTTTAATTGAACTTCGAATCCATAATGCCACATCTCTGTGTCTGAGTGACAGTGGCTCTTTAACAAATGCGAATACCTGATGTCTATCTTGCAGATTGTGGCAGCCCAGGATTCCGAACGCCTGAAATTTGTCCTGCACACCAAACATGCTCAGTCGATGTGTTTGGTCTTGGTTGCATCTTGTTTTTTTGTGTCACTGGCGGAAGACATCCAAATAGTCTAATGGCTAATAGTAATATCAAGGAGAACAAGATTGACTTGTCCCCGGTGGAATTTTTGCCAGAAGCTGCAGATTTATTTGCTCATTTACTAAACCCCAATCCTAACCTGAGGTGAGAGTACGGACATGTAATGTGCATGATCTCTTTTTCTTTCTATATTTCAATGGATTTTCTGCGAGTCATTTAATGACTCTCAATTCCCTGGAGCTACAACGACCGAACAATATTGAACCGTAAATGCCATTGATAGTTGTACATGTTCCCACATAAGCCCATAACAGGTGAAACCATGGACAGCTAGCTGCTTTAACTTGTCAGTACCCAAAGATGCACATGCCAATCATTCCTAATGTAATATTATGGGACTGAATGATTCTCTCGGATTATAACTATGCTTCTTGCTAGTAAAGAAGGTTAGAGAAAATTGTTTTTGCCTTCCAATTTTTCATCAAAGATGCTTAGGGAATTGCTGAAGTCGGTCAATCTCTTGTGGCCAAACAACAAAGACATTTGCATTCTGAACTCTTCTAAAATCTCGCAGGCCAAAGGCATTGGAGGTGCTTCACCATCCACTGTTTTGGAATTCAAAGACGAGACTGTCCTTTCTCCGAGATGTCAGTGACTGGATAGAATTGAAAGCTAGGAGAACTAATCCTGATCTTCAGGAAAAATTGGAGAGCATTGCTCAGCGTGTTTTCGTCGAGGAATGGAACGGAAAGATAGATCGTCAAGTCATTAAGCATATGCGTAGGTTCAGGGTCTACATGTTTAAAAGAGTCAGAGACTTGTTGCGAATTGTGCGAAACATGTTTAGCCATTCCATAGGACTACCACCGAAAATTCAGGTACGTTTCTACTTTCCAGTGCAACTACTGCAGGAAAATTTGGCATCTACGATGACATGCACATTACTGATCACATTACTATCACCAATACCTGAAGTCATTATATTATGTTCGATGTTTATCTATCTAATTTACAATCATTAAATATGTCTTCCGGTGAACTATCGCTGTAAGGTTATATGTGATTGCTGCAGCTGAATCATGGCAAGGCTTATAGAGTGAATGTATCTGCGAGCAGTAGTGTGGACTTTGCGGCTCATATTCGGTATTGTTCTGATGGTTGGTTGCGGCAGGAGATCGTTGGATCATCTCCCGAGGATTTGGACAGCTATATCGCGAAACGATTCCCTAGACTCTTGATTGAAACATACAGATTCATCTACATGTGCTGCGAAGATGAGGAACGCTCTCCCTTTCAGGAGTACTTCAACTGGTGAACCCAATGGTTCATCAGCAACGAACTTGGCAATAATTCGGGTCGACGAACACAATTTGCAGGATGGTTGATTTCGGCATCGTGCATACCAAGACGAAACATAGACATTTAGGAAACCTGTGTGTACATGTTTATATGATGTATATGGTTTGTGGTAAATTTGTGACATTCCGAATTTCGACCGATTTTTGGGATTTATAAAACGTGTAATTCGTCAGTGTGCTTATAGTAAAATATCGCCCGGGAACTGATCACTCCCGGTTATTATTTTTAAAATTGAGATTTCACTAGAATCGCACTCGATCGAATTTAGCCGTTATTTAGAGCCCAAACTTTGGTGTCGAATTTCTCGGAGTTCTAGGACGAAATAAATTGGACGGTGTCGATCGGGTCGTGGCCAACATCGAGATTGTCAGAAATAGTGGAAAAGTGAATTTTCGACCGGGTACGAATTTGGACAAGTAAACCTCCCTCGTTATAATTGGGTTTAATTAATTTGGCATTTATCTCTTATTATATGCGAGGCTCATTTTAGACCGGTAGATTGTTTTCGGTTTTGAATTTGGGCCATCGGATCGCATTTAATATTTGAATGAAGTTATTTTTTTTATTATTATCCTCTCTCTCTGTCTCTCTCTCTCTCCTTCTGCCGCGCCGAAACCCCTTGCCCGCACGTTTCCCCTCTGCTGCGTCTGACCCCCACCCACTCCTTCTCTCTCTCCTTTCTTTTCCCCTTTTTCTTTTCTTTTCCCTTTTTCTTTCTCCCTTTTTCTTCTTCTCCTTCGCTGGCTTGCCCCTCCCGAACGACGACTGTTCTGCTGCTCTTTCTTGCTGCCCGACCGACGCCGGCTTGTCCTCGCCGGCCCAGCCACCGTCGCCTCGCGCCGTCGCGCCACCCCAGCTCCTTCCCTTTTTCCTCCCTCCCGACGCCGGCTGTTTCTGGCTTCTGTTTGTGGCCGCGCAACGCCGGCCCGGCCGTGCGCCACCCCCGCCGCCTGGACCTTTTGTCCGCCGCCGGCTAGCGCCTCACCGGAACCGACTCCGCCGTCCACCTCCAACCGTCACCGCCGCAATCCCAGCCGCCGGAGCAGCCCCAACCAGCCACCACAGTAGTTACCTCCCCTCGCCATGTCCGTTCGTCGCTCGCCGGAGCAACCCGAGGACACCGCGTCCTCGCGTCGTCGCCGCCGTCGTCCTCGCGTCGTCGCCGGCGTTAGCCGAGTAAGTTAACCCCTAATCCCGTATTTAGGGTGTTAAACTTGCTTAGGGTAGTTTAATTTATGGTTAGTTTGTGTTAATTGTGGGTTAGTGGTTAATTAATTGTGTTTAGGGTATAAGTGATTGATTAGTTTATTGTTATTGATTATTATATGAAATGTTATTATTTTCGGAATTTATATATTATTTTATTAGTTAATATATTAATTTCGAATTAAATATTAATATTTTATTATTAAATAATTAATTTCCGAAAATTAAATGTTATTATTTTCGGAAAATTTCTAGCGTCAAATTGTGATGCCAATGTTGATTTTCGCCGTATAAGTTGGCGTATTTAGGAAATGATTTGAATGATTTCGATTCGAGGAAATATTTTGACATTTTGGAAAATTAAATTATTTTCGGATATTATTAATTAATTAATTCCGAATTTAATTTATTGTTGTTTCGGAAAATTTATAATTTCAAATTATGATTTCTAGTTTGAATGTTGGCGTTTGTGCCGTGATTTGTCGTATAAAACTATTTTTACGACAAATTGTTTTGATCGGAAGTTTTCAAGAAAGTTTACGAGATTATTGGCATTAAATTATTTTTATTGTTATGCCAAGAATGATAGTGATGCTTTGTAGTTGATAAACATGTTTGGCATCGAAGTTTGCAAGAATTGATTGACTGTTTGCATGTGTGACCACTTGATTTGTTATGTGACATTTTGTGAGCACTATTCATGGATGCATGGGCTAATTGCAAAGATAATAATTGGCCGGAATGCTTGTGTGCTCGTGTGGTCACATGTTGGAGCCGTCTTGCTGTGTATCGCTTGACGTTGCCCGATTTATCGGATGCCTGGGGATTATCTGGAGTACCGATACCCCGGATGCCTTGTCGCGGCCCGAGGCCGGACTCGATGCTCCTTACGGGATACCATCTTACTGTAGATCATTTGATGTTGCCGTATTGGAATGCCGTCTTATCGTAGATCGTTTGACGTAGCCGTGCCCGACGGGGCGGGACGGAGCCCGGTTATACCGGTAGACCGCCATCTTGCCGCAGATCGCTTGATGTGTAGTGGCCCCGAGGGGGCGTAATAACTGGATACGTGTGATGCATAGTGCTTGATTATGGGGTAGAAACTGCTAGGCATGGTATGGGACGTGCCCAAGCGGGTTTTTGCCTTATAATCGAGACACGCGCGACTGTGATGCATTAATGCATGGAAAATCTCTTTAAATGCTTCGAGTATGTGACATATGCATTTCATCAACGAGTGTATCAAGGCGAGGTAGGGATGCCTGTGGTTGTTTAATAATGTATTGTCGGTGCTGTGTTGCCTGCTTAGGGACCCCCATGCGAGTAGGCCTCCTAAGCGGGGCTTAGGCCGTTAACTTATTGAGACTTTCGTCTCATTTGTTGTTGTTAACCCCTTTTTCAGGCCCTTAGCATGTCGACGCACCCAGTGTGGTTCAGGTCGTTTGAAAGCTGGTTTTTGGAGTTCGACCTGTTGGTGGAGTAGACTGACCCCAGCCTGATATCTTTTTGCTGGCTTTTTGTGGCAGCGCCCGAAATGGGCTTGTAAGAATATTCCCAGGGGTTAATCAAGTGGAAATTAAAATAGTGTTGTTTGGCTGTTGTGATTTGTTTTCCTGACTATCCCTATTTGTTGTTGTCCGGGGATTGTTGTGTTCGTTTCCGCATGCGTAATTAAAAGATAAAACGAAGGGTCGGCGACGAGTCCTGGGACGTCGCATCATAATGACCATAACGGGATGTTGCGTGTCCGTAGGGTTCGGGGCGTGACAAAATTGCTATCTAGAGGTGATGGATTCATGCCTGTATATGCCTGAAAGAGAAGACAGAATTTTCAGAACATGTTGACCCACTTTCCATTAGCGTAAGATATATCATACTGTAAGTTCTGCTGCAAATGTTATTTTTTGACGAAACAAAATGGACTTAATCCAAAATAAAATTGAGTGATAATTTACATTAAGATTAATATACTAAATGATGTGACAGATTTCAAATATTCGAGTTACCAAGTGATCCATGTTGGACCGTGCGAGTGTTGACCAACTGCTTGAATTGGGTTGAGCGCGGGGCTTAAAAATATTGAATTTTCTTATTAATATCGCAAAAAATTCTAAACTAGTGCATTTATATCACATTTATCATAAACTAATTTTTGTGTTGCAAAAAAATCTAAATTGATACACTCGTGGCACGTTTAGTCCAAGCTAATTTTCATGTCATGTAAAATCCCAAACTAAATCTACCCTCCATTAACTTCTGTCCAGTATCTCGTAAATTGTGATGTGAAAACACGCATGCACAACTTGGATGATCAGCATGTGACGAGAATCCAACGTGGAAACTCAACATAAATGGGTTCCTTAAATGATGTCATTTTCAAGAAGTCAAACGTGAAGAACTGAACTGAAATTGGGATATCCGCTAAAATATGCTAATTTTGCTTAAGAGTCCTCTCACGTTTTGAAAATTTGCTAAAACTTCCAATTTTGCCTTAAGATTATGGTAGTCGTACCGGTTTTGGATTTTTTGTGATACGAAAATTATTTTGGGATGACTTAACCGGTGCACGTGTGTGGTGGCTAGCACGTGTCGCCCCCAGGGTTTACCTCCCGGCTGTCGGCCGTGCGGGGGTTCCCTGGGTTACAAAAAAAAAAAAATTTATTTTGGGATAATTGTGGTACAAGTCCACTAGTTTAGGATTTTTTCGTGATATGAAAATTAATTTAAGATAAATGTAATGCGAGTGTATTAATTTGATATTTGTTGTGCTGTTAATCCCAAATTTTCTTCGCAGAAACAATCCGACCTAAGCGAGACTTAGCGGGCTGGCTTGAGCCTTCACAGAAAATCGATTCCCATTCTGTTGTGGCAATTCGGTGGAGTATGTTACTGTATGTTGCTAGGATGTGAGCTTGGTTCTTTTTTGTATTAAGAAGTTATGCCACAGTTTCATAGGATCTGTATGGTCAAATGGCATAATGCGGTTGGTCATTATAGGGTTCGAGCAGAGTATAAGTCTTCAGACGTGCATGCGCCTGGCGAGAAGAAACTGCTTATTTCTCGTGTTTCGAGTTTTAAATTTGAACATGAGTCGAATCTGCCGCATTAGGGGCATTTAGTCTAGTTAGTGAATTTTGCGAGGACAAAAACCCTGCATATGAGGGGAAGAGCAGAAGGGATCAGAGAAAGCGAGACATGCTCACGATCTGGTCCAATGGTGATGCTTGCGTTTCCTGAAAGCACACCGCCGATATCAGAGGATCGAACGGTTCGTCTTGGATCTTGGAGAAGCGCCGTGTTGGAAGTTGATTCTCTGACTGGAAGACTGGTACGCGTCTATGGTTCATCAGATTTTCCATCTGCTTCTAGAAACGACATGGAAGAGAGACGAGGTACTGTTTTATTCGTTAATGATGCGAAGGATTTCGCAAAGTCGAACTCTAACAATGAGCAGCCTCGTCCAAGGACCACTGTTCTGCTCTGATTTTCGATAAGGTTTCGTGGAGCTTGTCCCTAGCTGAAACAGAGGCTTCCTTACTTGGTGAAGAAGACAATGGTCATTCCGGTAGTGCATCCCCTGTTGATTCGAGATATAGACTTGGTTGGGAATGTGGAGACCTCTTTACTATGCGATTCTCTTGCTCTTGTCCGCCTATTGTCGTTCACGTTCGAATTTGTCAGATGTACAATTCATCTTCTAGACCTTCTCAGCTTGAGATTGGTTGATCCTTGAATTTGAGCCCAAGAAAGTGAGGCTTCCTTCTTCTGATCTCATGCTTCATCAGCAACTGAAGATGGATATTATGGTAAGGTTGCAAAACGAGGATATGCTTTTGATGTGATAATGTCACTACCTGCTCCAGAGATCCATAATTCACGAGTTGTCTGTCGGTCGGGCTTACCATACAGCTTTCCACGGCGATATTTCGTGTATCTCTTTTAAGCAGTCAGAAGCTTCATCTGTTATATTGATGATCTTTTTGATCATCGACTGGTTTGTCTACTATTCCGTTCAAGTGCCAAACGAACAACCGAAGCTGTTGGGGAATTCTCGTAATAATTGGATTCGGAAAAAGAAGATGAGAAAAATGCTTCCTTCGGACACCTATCATATTTGCATGCTTCGACTAGTGGACACTTGGAAATAGGTTACATGACTAAGCAAATTGCACGTCCATTACTGCCAAAGAAGTTTATCCTATAAATATGAGTATTAGTGGAATTTATTTGGCCTTCTTGAAATTGAGAAATTGGCACAAAGAGATATAGCCGAATTTGGAAAACAAAAGAAAAGAAAACGAGAGAGATTTCAAGTTCGTCAAACTCAAAGTAGCTTTTATTGTTTGGTTTTGCAAATCTCTTTTTTCAAATTGTAAACTTATGTCAGTGATTAGATTTATTATAAGTAATGAAAGGCATAGCACGGCATGATAATATAAAAAGGGAAAATTTGATGTTTGAGCATTTTTGTTGCATAAATTTTGGATCGGGCATTTACTACCATTTTGATTATTTGAAATGGCATAGAAAAACATTTCTTGAAAATAATTATGAATTGATTGATTGTGAAATGTTCATAAAATGCTTTATGAAAGACTTGCAAAAGGTTATATGTACTATTAATTGTGAACATGGTTATATAATGTATTATGTTTTGAAAGGTTATATGTTTTGTTTTGTCAAACCGATTTATGAAATAGATACTAAATTGGTTTTGTGGATTTTCGGATGATGTTAGTAGATTAATGCTCATTATCACTGTGAACCCCATTGAGGGGTTTGTAAATAGGCATGTTATTTTAGAATATCTTTCTAGACTAAACCACCGACTCATATAAGTGGAGAACTAGCATAGAAGAAACTTGGTTGCCTCTGTCACAGGGCGTTAAGCATGACGCAGTTGAATATTAGGAAGTAGATTGATTAATAGAATGGACCATTGATGTTTAATTTGATATTGTTGATTAATTAAGTATTTCCAATTTGTATAAAACTCAATTGAAATGAAATAATTCATATTTGATTTGGTACGTATACCATAATCTAGTTCGGATTATTGAGTTTCCGGTATTTTTTTATAAATATGTACAGTGAATGTTTAATCTGCTTATAAGAGATATGTACTACTCATTATACCATTGATCTTAAATATTTTTCAAGTTGTTTAGCTAGCGGCAAGTATGACGAGGAATTTTGGGTAACTAAATTTTGGGTATGAGTTGAGATAGTTAAATATATGTTTGATATGGTATTTGTTGATATTTAGTTTAAATTATGTCCTCATCCATCCTATAGAAGTAAAGGTGCATATTGGATTTTGTTTTCTCATAGCTTGTTGAGCCGTTTGTGGAGCTTATAAATCTCTTGGATGTATTTGGTCTTTCACTGTTCTGAACTGTTCGAATTTTGTTGCAAGGTGGTTTATGCCCATTAACATTGGAATTTCCTTCCTCGTTGGTGGGGTTCTTGGATGGATTCTCGTAAAAGTATTGAAACCGATGAGTCACCTAGAGGGTCTGATCATTGCTGCTTGTTCAACAGGTATTCTTATCTAAAAGAATATGATGACCCGGTTCCTTGGCATCGTTGTTTCACATGAATTGAAAGACAAATTGGTTTGTTATTGTTTACTTAACTAATTGCCGTCAGGAAACTTGGGAAATCTACCCCTCATTGTAATCCCGGCGGTCTGTGATGAGGGCGGTAGCCCGTTTGGAGACTGGAATACTTGCCACTCCGCTGGACTCTCATATGCATCTTTCTCGATGGCGGTAAGTTCCCTTCCTTGTATGTTTAAATTATTTATCACATAGAAATTGGCTTCTCAGTAAAAGAAAAACAGGGATGACTAGTGTAAGACATATTGGGTGGACTGGCCCAAGATGGGCCAGCGCCCGGGCCCCGTGAGCCACAATAGGTAGTTATTTGCTCTATCTATAATAGAAGGCGCCCTTGGAAAACGAAGTGATTTTTTCATATGTGCAAACACACTCCTTCGACACAACGTATTCTGTTTTTGCTTCGGAACGCACGTGAGTACGAAAGACGATCGTAGAACTCTCAGCGCAAAGTGGCACTTAATGCGTGACAATACCGAGTATGTTCGTTGTGTGATATGCCTGTACGATCGGTGATACAAGTTGATGATCCTTGGGCACGTTTTCCGCATTGATCGAATTCGTTCGAATATGTTTCGAACACGACGATCGGGAATTGAGTTTTCCCAACATTGGTATCGAGCCCGTTTACTTGTTTCCGATCATGCATGTGTACCGTCTCTTCCATTGAAGTGTATCTTGCTTGTTTTTCGTTTCGGCCTTGTTTTTGGTTCGTTTCGTCCACCGAACCTGTTCATACATGTTTCGATTTTGTTTTTCGTCAAAACTTAAATTTTATTGTATAAACAGAAGGGCTCGTCGAGACGAGCAAAATGATGGGCGGCACGTCGCCGGAGGACGCCGCACGCGCCCTCACGCGCCGGCAGGCCCGTGCGCGCGGCGCGTGCGTGCGCACCACGCGGCCGTGCGAAAGGCGCGTCGGTCGCCGCTAACCGCCGATGATGACGTCATCGTGACGTCATCGAAGCGGACCATGACCCGACCCGAGACCCCGACCGGTTGGCCATGTGACCCGACCCCCGTTGACCTGGTTGACCCGACCCGTTGACCGTTGACCCGACCCGTTGATGGTTGACCCGACCCGGTTGACCCGGCCCGTTGACCCGGCCCCGTTGACCAAACCGGTTGACCGTTGACCGGTCAACGGTCGGAACGGTCAAACCGGTCGGACCGGACCGGTTCAAACCGGCAGAATGACCAAGTTATTTCTTTCGGCCCGTTCGAGCTCATTTGAACTCCGATTTGGGCGTTCTTGGTATCGACGTGCTCGTATCGGAATGTTCTACGTTATGGTGTATTCATATTACAGTTTTTCTGCACTTATGAATGTGAAAATGCACGATAAACCCTATGTACACATACTTAGGGGTATATTCTTTAGCATTTTCTCTAGTATTTCTCTATAGTTTTTTGAAATACAAGTGCTAGATCATATGTATATGAATAAGCATTCCTTATCTTAATGTATCATGGATTATAAGTAATCCTTCGTTCTGCATTCGTTGCGGGAACAATGGTACATTTGAGACGCACTCCGATAATCCCGTAACGGCGGCTCAAAAGGAGAAGCTTGAAAACCTAAGAGTCAAGCTAGCTCTTTATCGATGGGACGCTAAAGATGATATGATGACACACATCATCAAGGTCAACAAAATGATACAGGATATCATTTGGAACGGTTTTGTAATGCCGGAATATGTAATGGTCGGAGCCCTAAAATGCACTATGCCTGATGAGTTGGGAAGAATGCTTGATAAGGTTAAAGAAACCTTAAATGGTCCAAGCTATAAGATGCTTGTGGAGAATTTTGTGCAAGAATACATAAGGGTTAGGGCAAGAAGAACATCAACCCTTGCATTGAATGGGTCGAGGCGCACATCATGGCCCGGATCTAGGGGTTTTCCAGGAGCCTCTGTTTATGTTCCGAAGAAAATAAAACTTTCTAAAGAATTTTATGAGTCCTTTCCTGTCTATGTGTTAGATTGGTACACTTGATGTTGTTCTTTTGGAATTTGGAATCAATTCTGTATATGTTTCAAGTTGTTATTACATGTTCTTAAATATTTGTGAATGTGTTATGAAATATATATATATGGCTATGAATTTTTTGTGATTTCTCATTTTATATTGCCATATCACATGTTATGTTAATATGTGGGAAGTTCTTCAAAGTTTGTATAACTTTTGAAAAATCAATTTCTTTACATAAATGATTATGTTAATGGTAATTTCAAATTGGGTTTTTTAGACGATGATTGGGAACATAGTGAACTTTCGACTCTAAGACCTTTTGTGAAACTATTCATTAATATGATTAGTTTATGTAATCATGATGCTGATGAAGCATTTAGATAGGCTTTAATAACTCGTGCGTATGTGTCTGAAATGTTCAGATACGATGGCTTCAGCAACTAAGAACATAGTGGCTGAACTGAATAAGGGAGAAAAATTGAATGGTGACAATTATGAGATTTGGAGTCTCAAGATTCAATATGTGCTGGAAGAGCAAGAGGCACTCGAAGCTCTAAACCAGATTATGGAAGAACCTGAGGATGGGACAACTGCCCAACACAAGAGGGACAAAGATGCCTTTGTCTTGTTTGGAAAAGAAAGAACTCTCTTGCTCGCATTACGTTGCTAAGCGCATGGACAATGACATCATGCGAGAGTTCGGACGTTTCCGGAGCGCCAAAGACATGTGGGCTGCATCGGCATCAAGATTTGGTCGAACTCACGTGACCAAACTAAGACAACTCACTATCCGTTTCGACTCATATAAGATGTCTCATGGAAAGACCATGAAACAACATTTGAGGCGGATGTCGAATATGATTAGTGAGCTAAAGGATGCCGGGCACATACTCCCGATGAACAAGCAGTGTGCAAGAATCCGCTCTTTGCCTCAAAGCGGGAGCACATGAAGATCCATTTGACCCACAATGAGGGCATCAAGACCTTCGAGGATGCTATGCGGCATCTTGAGCCTGGAAGAGGATCGCCTCATGGCGGCTAAGCCTAAACCGATATTTACTTTCTTGGTTTTAGCTCGCATGGAGTTTCGGGCTCCAAGAGGAAGCACCTGTTTGGGTCAAAGAAGTGGAAAGGCAAGGGGCCAAGTCCTTCGAGCAAGAAGCCGAGGCTCAACCAACGGGAGAAAGGAAAGCGTCCTTTCAAGAAGAACATTTCAAGAGTGAAATGTTTCAACTGTGGCAAGAAGGGTCACTTTGCTCGCGACTGTGGCGAACCAAAGAAGACTCGGGAGCCACAGACCATGTAGCGAAGGACAGAGGAGCTTTCGTGGAGTTCCGACGAGTTCCACAAGGAACGAAGTGGATATACGTGGGGAACAATTCAAGAGTGGAGGTCAGAGGCATTGGCACCTGTCAACTACTTATGCGCGGTGGACGCACGTTGTTCCTACATGATGTGCTATTTGCTCCAGAGATTCGTCGGAACTTAGTTTCAGTGTTGGTTTTAGTTAGACTTGGTTTTAATGTAAACTTCCATAAAAATGGTGTAGACTTGTCTTTAGATACAAGTTATTATGGTTCCGGATATTTCTTAGATGGTTTCATTGTATTAGATGTTGACTATTGTGAAGTTAATGTTAGTTATTCCTTATTTACATCATCTGATTCTTATGAGAATGATGTGAACGTGTGGCATGCTAGACTTGGTCATATTGGCCAACAAAGAATGAATAGATTGGCTAAAGATGGCTTATTGGGCAATATTAAAAAGGTTGATTTGCCCATATGTGAGCATTGCCTAGAAGGAAAAACAACACGGAAACCATTTGGAAAAGGAACAAGAGCTGAATTTCCTTTGCAATTAATCCATACTCGACATCGTGGTCCAATGAATGTAAAAGCAAGGCACGGTCTGTTTATTTCATCACATTCATTGATGATTATACTCGATTCGGACATGTCGATTTGATTTCTCATAAGTCTGAAGCTTTAAATTGCTTTAAAAGATTTATGACCTTAGTGGAAAATCAATTAGACAAGAAAATAAAAGCATTAAGATCCGATCGAGGTCGAGAATATCTGTCGATCGGTTCGAGAAATTTATGTGATGAAAAGGGAATAGAAAGACAACTGACTATTCCATATACTCCTCAACAAAATGGTGTTGCGGAAAGAAGAAACAGAACCTTAATGGAAATGGTTAGATCAATGATGGCACAAGCTAACTTGCCAATCACCTTTTGGGGTGATGCTTTGTTGACTGCCGCCACATACTTAACCGTGTGCCTTCTAAATCGATTGCTTCTACTCCATATGAGTTATGGACAGCGAAAGCCCGATTTAAGCTTTCTAAAACCTTGGGGTTGTCTGCCTATACTCGTGAATCTTCTCACAAGTATGGAAAATTAGGCCCAAGAGGCAAAAAGAGTATTTTTATAAGATACTCGGAGCACTCAAAAGGATATGTATTCATAGGTGAGCAAGAAAGCGGAAGTATAACTGAATTTGAATCACGGGATGTCACATTCTTAGAGAATGAATTTCCTAAAAAGGGCGAAGTAGGTGGTGATTACTCACTATACGAATCTGTGGATCGTGATAGTGAAGTTAGTGGGAGCATTGTGACAAATGGAGAGTTGAATGCAACCCAGTCTCAATTGCAACCACTTAAAGAGACGACACCACCATTATCTCATTCGAGTGGGAGCGCAATGGAACGGGGTGAATCATCAGGAGTACAGCATTCCATACGACAGTCAAGTCGTAATAGGATTCCCCGTCGACGTTTTGACATTGAAGGAGAAGCTTTCATGATCGTCCCACAAGATGAAGATGAGCCGAAGAATGTGAACGATGCTCTAAAGTGCCCTGATAAGGAAGAATGGATACATGCAATGGAAGAGGAAATGGAGTCATTAAGATCAAACCAAGTTTGGGAATTGGTTGACCTTCCAAAAGGACGCAAAGCCATTGGGAACAAGTGGGTTCTCAAAATAAAGCGTAAGGGTGATGGCTCAAAAGAGAGGTATAAGGCTCGCCTTGTGGCGAAAGGATATAATCAACGGGAAGGAGTTGACTTTGAAGAAACTTTTTCTCCGTGGTTAGATTTACCTCTATTCGCCTTATTCTGGCAATAGTAGCTAGTATGGATCTGGAATTACATCAAATGGATGTAAAGACTGCATTCCTCAATGGAGAATTAGAGGAAGAAATTTATATGGAACAACCTGTTGGTTTCATTACAAAAGGCCAGGAGCACAAAGTGTGTCGACTATTGAGGTCGATATATGGCCTTAAGCAGTCTTCGAGACAATGGTATATACGTTTTCATGATGCCATAATGGCATATGATTTTGTAATGATTAGTGAAGACAATTGTGTATATATCAAAAGATCCAAAGATCAATTTGTGATCTTGTCATTATATGTTGATGATATACTAATTGCTAGGAAGATATGGAGTTGGTTAATACGATCAAGAATTGGTTATCTTCCAATTTTGAGATGAAAGATATGGGTGAAGGCTGCATACATTCTTGGAGTTAAGATTTCAAGAGATCGCTCAAAGAAATCCCTATCCCTTTCACAAGAGACGTATGTGAATAAAATCCTTGAGCGATTTCGTATGCAAGACTGTAAACCAATAGATACTCCTATTGCAAAAGGCGAAGCATTAAGCGACAGAATGTGTCCTAAGACTTCACAAGAAAAGGAGCAAATGGAACAAGTTCCATATGCTAGTGCTGTCGGAAGCTTGATGTACGCTATGATGTGTACAAGACCTGATATTTGTTATGCAGTAGGAATGGTAAGTAGATACCAATCCAATCCAGGTCAAGCACATTGGATCGCCGTCAAAAGAATCCTGAGATATCTAAAGGGAAGTGCCGACTATGCGCCGACTTATCAAGGAAGTGATCTACACCTTGAAGGCTATACGATGCCGATCGGGAGGAGATTTAAAAGAAAGGAAATCTACTGGATACGTATTCTTACTGAATAATGGCGCCATATCTTGGAGCAGTAAGAAACAACAGTGTGTAGCCTTATCTACAATGGAAGCCGAGTTCGTGGCTCTATCAGCAGCGGCACAAGAAGCTGTTTGGCTTAGAAGATTTTTGGATCACTTAGGTGTTCCTGAGAATGCTGCAAAACCCAGTATTGGTCTATTGTGATAGCCAAGCAGCAATAGCGTACACTAAGGATCCCAAGTACCATGGAAAGACCAAACATATAGATATCAAGTATAACTATGTCAAGGACATGGTTGCACGAAAGGAAGTGAACGTGAAGTACATATCTACACAAAGGATGATAGCAGATCCTATGACGAAACCAATTCCTAGAGAAGTTTTCCATGGTCATGTGAGATCTCTAGGACTGTGTAGAATATGATGTACTGAATATTGTAATTTTCCCAGAATGTTCACTATTAATGAAGTTTGTTATTATCAATGCCTATAAGTTTGTATGACGTTTGTGAATATTGATGCTGAGTGCATTATATTGAAAATGTATGTCGGACGGATGAGAGATTAGCCCACTCACACGGGTAATCGCTCTACTCACTTGTGTGATGAATAGAGATGAGACAGTTTTAAGCTTGTTATCTAGGTGATAATTGAGAGCTCAAGCTTGAAGCATGGACGTCGCCTTAACAGAATGTTAAGATGAGGACATATAGATTATTATGTCCGAAAGTGAAATGACCCACATATTTCACTTTACCTGTCTTTGATGCCAGATGTGAGTTCTGATAGATGCTTATGAATAGAGTAGATTTGTGGACTCAAGTTAGACATTGAGTATGTCTAAACTATCATCTGTACGGTATTGAGAGTAAAGACATACGCTCTATGGGAAAAGGAGAGAATACCGTAATACGTATTTCATATTACGTATGCATGGGACGACCGATAAGAGTTGGCAAAAATTTGTGATCTCAATTTTTAAGTCGTGTGAGACTCTTGAAGAAAATAGTTCTTCTCAATTAAAGTGCCCTCACGACTCTTACTTATTCTCAAAATTTCTATTCAGTGTTTGCTATCTTAGGATGTTGCCGATGATCATGATAATTCGGTCTAACGGGGCATTTCTAGAAAAGCGAGTTGGACCGAAATGGAGAGGTTTAAGGAAAGAGGAAGATCAATTTAATTTATGATGTCACATTCTATATTTGTATTCACAGGTCGACCAATTATGATTTTGAGTAAATCATAGTTGTGAATACAATATACGAGATACTAAAAGAGATCAAGAGAGATGAAAATTGTGGTGATTGATCTAGGAACCGCATACTAATTCTACTCGGATAATGCCCAAATTTGAGCTGTTATATATTCCTAATGAGATGTATAACAACGAGCTCGTAGTATCTTTGGTCGCGACGGATTATTTGCCAATATGAACTTTGCAAGGAAGAGAGTTGTGTTTAGCCCATCGTGGGCGAGTGGGAGATGTAAGACATATTGGGTGGACCGCCCAAGATGGGCCAAACCGGCCCGTGAGCCACAAGGGCCACGAGGTAGTTATTTGCCTATCTATAATAGAAGGCACCCCTTGGAAAACAGAAGTGATTTTTTCATATGTGCAAACACACTCCTTCGACACAACGTATTCTCTGTTTTTGCTTCGAACGCACGTGAGTACGAAAGACGATCGTAGAACTCTCAAGCGCAAAGTGGCACTTAAACGTGACAATACCGGGTATGTTCGTTGTGTGATATGCCTGTACGATCGGTGATACAAGTTGATGATCCTTGGGCACGTTTTCCGCATTGATCGAATTCGTTCCGAATATGTTTCGAACACGACGATCGGGAATTGAGTTTTCCCAACAACTAGTAATACGCGCTTTCATTGTTCGCCGTCTTCAACGTGATCAAATAATGCCTTGAATTCATGTTTCTGGTTTTAGCTGCATTGAGTCTAATGTTTCAGTGTGTGACTACATAGTGTATTTTCTTATCTGGTGTCTAAGCAGCTTGGTGGTTTCTACCTCTGGACTTACACTTACCAACTTATCGGAACATCGTCCATGAAGTATAAAGCGATTCAAGCTGCCAAGGAGGCCTTGAAGGCACCTAACATTGATCCAAATTCCGGTTCAGAAACACACCTTCTCAAGTAAAAAGATGGAGAGCAACAAGCTATTGTTAGTGTGCAGTGGACAAGGGCTAGTGAAGATGCAGAAACACAAGCTGTGAGACTCATTCTTTTCTTTCCCATTCGACTTGTGGCGCAAGAAAAGTTATATTTTCGTTGCTCTATTTGCATGAGCAATTGTATTTCAGATTTCACATGGGGATTCAGATAAGACCAATACATCACTCTGGAATATAGTTAGAGTAACCTCTTCACCAAGTGCTGGAGGAGCTAATGTCTCCTCCTACACTTGCTGCAGTGAGTTTCATCAAGATTCTCCTGCATTATGCTTGCGAAGCGTAATATTTTCTAGTTAAAGGACACAAAGTGACAATTTTCTCTATGTGAACAGATAGTTGGATTCATTGTCGGGGCAATCACATTCTTGAAGAACCTCATAATCGGTGAGAACGCGCCCCTTCGTGTGATACAGGACACTATTCAACTATTAGGGTAAGAAAGATCAACCTTATGAATTGTGAATTCCGTAAACCTTAGTTTATCTCAATGATTTTGGCCTTAAACTGAAATTCTGTGAAGCAGGGATGGGACTATTCCTTGCATCACACTTATCTTAGGAGGCAACCTCACTCAAGGCAAGATTTTCTTGACCCTCCATTTTCTCTCAAACAGAAATTTTGGAGTTTATTGATCGATTGTTGTGTGTGAACAGGTTTACGCTCTTCGAGAATCAGACCATGGGCTATCGCCGGGGTGATTTGTGTTCGGTATGTGATACTTCCAGTGATTGGCATTGGAGTCGTGAAGGCTGCCGGTAAGCTTGGCCTTCGGGCATCAGACCCATTGTACCACTATGTCTTGATGGCTCAGTTCTCACTCCCACCAGCCATGAATATTGGTAAGTGTAGCTAACTTCTTCAAAGAGAAAGGAAAAGGAAGAAAAAAATAGAAGGTAGTCAGATAAAAAGGTCTTGAAGTCAACTTTATTAGTTTCAAGTCAAGAGGGCATTTGATTCGGTATGTGAAGCAATGCAGATTTCTTGTACCTTTGTCCAATTTTTCTGAAGTTGAAACACGTCTCAGCTAGTGACTCGCACTACTACATATTCAGTCGAGCAACATAGACAGAATCTTGATTGTGAAATGAGTATTTAGATTGAATCTTGATTTGGGAACATACAGATGGAGAGCTAAACATAGGAGTGCAAGTGTAGTTCAACAAAGTAGAGCTAGTTCACTAGGAATTTTCATGCTACTGATTTTCTCAAGAAAGCTGCTGAGAGTTTTGTGAAATTTGCAGGGACAATGACCCAGCTCTTTGATGTGGGTCCAGAGGAGTGTTCAGTGCTCTTCCTCTGGACATACTTGTTTGCAGCCATAGCTCTCACTTTCTGGTCAACTGTGTACATGTGGATCTTGTCCTTATATTATTTTCTCAGGCTAATTGAGTCAGACTTGGACACAGCCAATTTTGCCGGAACTTTGGGAAGCTGAGCTTGTAATTCATATAAGAATTATATAAACTTCATAGTCATGTACGCCAACAACAGACACATAGTTGACAGGGCCGAAAACAAATGTCCGGTGATTTACCTAAAATGCTGGCAAAACAATGTAATGCTGAGTCAGCAACCCGCAATTTGAAAGTTCGAGCTGATAGAAAATGATGCTGCTTTGGTTTTTCAAATTGAAAGCAGTCGAGCAATGGTATGCTCTAACGGGAAGTTCACGCATCACCATTAGAACTACCAAGGTCTCAGGAGAGTTGATCGAATATGGAACTGGAGTCCTAGGATTAATCGAATATAACGCTCATCTTACACCGGTACCATGTCAAACTAACGGGCTTTCAAATACTTCGTAAAGAAGTTCGGACAAACATGAAATGTTGGGTATGTTATGTATCATCGACAGATTACCATGATGCTTGTGCTGAGGTTATTTCTATGCATCCTACTCTAAAATTTAAAAAGAACCTTCGCCGAAGTTCAAGAATTTCAATCAATATCAACTTTAGTGTCCATTTTAATTTAAACACAACTATCGACAATTGGTCAGTTCGTTGCTTAGATTAAAGATGACTAACGAGACTTCACCATGGTTCCTAGTACTTCAAACCAGATGAAGAAAAATTTATATACTATGTACAAATCAGCAAAGAGGGTGTATACCGCATAGCCTGGAAAATACAAAGGCCTAAATCTGTTCAGCGTCTATTCACTTGTGCTAGATTGGCGTCAAACGTGCTTCTTCGGCACTCTCCTTTGCTGACTTCTGAAGCCATTTTGTACAGTTAGAGTCAACTAGCAACTCAACCAAAACCCCAATCATTTCTTTGTTTTGGCCCATGTAAGTCTTGGTCTTGTTGGACGAAGATTCCACTCTTTTCTTATGCGAGAGAGAGTCGTGCAAACTTGTCCGATAAACCAAACTACTCGAGTATCGAGAGACGGTGACTCACATTTAGTCTTGTCCAACAAAAGAAAAATGGGCGTAAGCTTTGTACTTTATTCTATGGTACGACCGGTTTTATGAATGCATTTTTCGCGAAACGGGTCGATCCGATAATCTCCGTTATTTCTCGGAAAGCACTCTCCTATCGACATTTCTCGTTACGCCTAACCTAATTCGATATGAGAATGAAAGAGCGATAAGCATGTTAGAGGGGTCGTGCTCGTCAGTGTGGTAATTAGTGATGTTCATTATGGGGAAAATTGTCAAATCAGTCCTAAACTTATTGTACGGCGGCCAATTCAGTCCTAAACATTTCAATTTTGCCAATTCAGTCCTAAATCTTTCTAATTCTTGCTAATTCAGTCCTTCCGGCCAATTTTGACCGGCCGGCGCCTGCCAATGCTGACGTGGCAATTTTTTTTTTTTTCAATTTTTTAATCTTTTTAAATCTTTTTTTTTCTAATTTCTTCCTCTGGCCGGTCCGGCGACCGGCCAGAGGGGAGGGCCGGCGAGGTCGACCTCGCCGGCCTCGCCGCTGCTGAGGCGAGGCCGACCTCGCCGTCGCCTGGTTCGCGATGGCGAGGTCGAGCCTCGCCCAAATCTAGCGAGGCTCGACCTCACCGTCGCGACCCGGGCGACGGCGAGGTCGGCCTCGCCTGCCGCAGCCTCACCTCGCCCAGCAACGGCGAGGCCGACCTCGCCGATGCCCGGGTCGCGACGGTGAGGTCGGCCTCGCTGGCTGGCGGGCGAGGCGAGGCCCAGGCGGCGAGGCTGACCTCGCCGACGCTTGGGTCGCAACGGCGAGGTCGACCTCGCCGGCCCTCCCCTCTGGCCGGTCGTCGGTCGCCGGTCACCGGACCGGCCAGAGGAAGAAATCAGAAGAAAAAAAAAGATTAAAAAATTGAAAAATAATAAAAAATTGCCAAGTCAGCGTTGGGCCGGCGGCCACGTTAGCGCCGGCCGGCCAAAATTGGCCGGAAGGACTGAATTGGCAAGAATTAAAAAGGTTTAGGACTGAATTGATAAAATTAAAAAGTTTAGGACTGAATTGATCGCCGTACAATAGGTTTAGGACTGATTTAACAATTTTTCGTTCATAATGTCTAGCATTGTAGGGCCAGTAGGACCCCGTGTGCATCAATTCTACCACCTTTTAGTCTTATAATGTTTCCCTCTTTAGTTCGACAACGGCCGGAAGAACTCATTATTGTCCTGAGTAATCTTTCTCTCTTAATTTTTGCTCTTCCTTAATTACATTGCAATAATGCAGCGATCGCAGGAAGGTTCGGATGTTCCTTCCTTGGGCTGCTGCTGAACCTTTTGGGCTCTCCTCAGTCTCGCCCGTGGTTTCATCAGGCAGTCTGTAGTTTGGAGCTGATCTGAGTGTTATGGACGTTCTCGTTTGATCCTCGCCGGCTGTCTTTTGGGCCGAGCAACGCGCGTCGGTTCGGAGCAGAAGAGACAGAGTGTTGATGCGCTTGCCCGTTGGGTTTCTCCAGTCTCTTCAACGGTGAGTACAGTTTCTTCCGATTTCTTGTAAGTAGTGATGAAGTACAACGGTTTCTTCCAGTTTTGCCTAGAAAAGAGGCAAGGGAGAGACTTTATCCCGCCGTCCGGCACAGACTTTTTGCCTTTATACATTAAGCGATTATTGACGATGAAAGTCATGACAAGGACGAGCATATCTCTTCAGAGAACGATGGCGGGCTTGGTAACGGGAGGAGTGGTGATGAGGGTGATCGTTATTTGAAAGCACTTTCCAATTGGAAGAAAAGACACGAGTCTGGAAAGAGCAGCGGAAGTCTTGACCGAAAGGAGGAGCATGTCTGTTCAGAGAATGGAGGCAGGCTTGGTGATCGTGGGAGCTACGATGAGGGTGATCCTAATTTGAAGATGCCTCCCAAGATGAAGAAAGAACACAAGTCAATAGCGAGTGATGCAAGTCTTGACAGAAAGGACGAGCATGTCACTTCAGAGATCAAAGGCAAGCTTGGTAGTAGTAGGCCAAACTTCAGGGGAGCTTGTTCTGGGAATAATCTTCAAGAGACGTCCTACAATTTTGCTCGATGAAAAGCGATTGATCCCTGTAGTTGTATGGGAAGAACAAGTTCAAATATGACTAACTATAGCCCGGAGACGCCATCGGCACATAAGCAAGAAACACACGAACTAGATTCAATCAGTAGTAGAGTTCAAATCGAGAACCAATATGAGCTTTTGCGGACCTGGGAATACAACTAACAAGAACATAATTTTCTTGGGGAAGAAGGTGCATTACCCATTAGCATCATTATTCAAATGCCATCCTGACAAATTCCCAGCTTCTTTTAGCGAATCCCTCCACTTCTGCACCAGCAAATCGTCCGTGTGGGTGGCCAAACACCTTCCGAAACCATCCCCGAATCGCTCGCTCTGTTTCCGAACGTCGCGTGGCTGAACATCGTAGAAAATGGGCAGAAGCACATGACCCCGATGATCTCTGAACCTTCTGTTGCACTCCAGGATCTCCACCAGCTCGTCCAAGCACCACCGCGAGTCGGCGTAGTTGGTGGTGAACACGACGAGAGAAACCCTAGAATGGCGAATCGCGTCGAGCAGCTTGGCCTCAATAAGAATCCCGGTCTCCTCTTTATCATTGTCCCAGAAGTAGTAGATCCCCGCCTGCTTCAGCGCGCGGAAGAGGTGGGCCGCGAAATTCTTCCTGATGTCCTCGCCCCTGAAGCTCACGAACACGTCGTACTTCCACCGATGAACCGAAGCGGAAGAAGATGGAACGGGTCCCTCCATCTCTTCGATCCCCATGAGGATAATCCGCGATTGAGCGAGAGACCAAGAAGAAGCTCGAAACTTTTCCTCGCAAGCGGAGCGCACAAATGAGAGAGAGAGAGAGAGAGAGAGAGAGAGAGAGAGGGGGGGAGAGAGCAGGCGCAAGTGAAGTAAATTTATCATGATAAATTTACTTTCAATTTATTTTCGTTCATCACAGAAATATTAATTTGTGATTTTTTTATATTAATCAAATTTAACGTAAATTAACGAAAGATAAATTTATCATAAATATATTAATTTAAAATTTTTAATAATTAAAAAATTAATTTAAGATAAATTTATCGTATCGGTTTGAATTTTTGATAATCAAAAAATTAGTTTGAATTAATTTCTCCCACGCCAGCTGGTCCCGGCACTCCATAGAAGACGCCGAGCGTGTGTACCGGTGGTGAAGCTTTGAACTTTCGTTCCCTTCTCGCTCACCACTTGCGCCTGCTCTCTCCCCCCTCTCTCTCTCTCTCTCTCTCATTCGAGCTTCTTCTTGGTCTCTCGCTCAATCGCGGATTATCCTCATGGGGATCGAAGAGATGGAGGGACCCGTTCCATCTTCTTCCGCTTCGGTTCATCGGTGGAAGTACGACGTGTTCGTGAGCTTCAGGGGCGAGGACATCAGGAAGAATTTCGCGGCCCACCTCTTCCGCGCGCTGAAGCAGGCGGGGATCTACTACTTCTGGGACAATGATAAAGAGGAGACCGGGATTCTTATTGAGGCCAAGCTGATCGACGCGATTCGCCATTCTAGGGTTTCTCTCGTCGTGTTCACCACCAACTACGCCGACTCGCGGTGGTGCTTGGACGAGCTGGTGGAGATCCTGGAGTGCAACAGGAGGTTCAGAGATCATCGGGGTCATGTGCTTCTGCCCATTTTCTACGATGTTGAGCCACGCGACGTTCGGAAACAGATCGGGCGATTCGGGGATGGTTTCGGAAGGTGTTTGGCCACCCACGCGGACGATTTGCTGGTGCAGAAGTGGAGGGATTCGCTAAAAGAAGCTGGATTTTTGTCAGGATGGCATTTGAATAATGATGCTAATGGGTAATGCACCTTCTTCCCCAAGAAAATTATGTTCTTGTTAGTTGTATTCCCAGGTCCGCAAAAGCTCATATTGGTTCTCGATTTGAACTCTACTGCTGATTGAATCTAGTTCGTGTGTTTCTTGCTTATGTGCCGAAGGCGTCTCCGGGCTATAGTTAGTCATATTTGAACTTGTTCTTCCCATACAACTACAGGGATCAATCGCCTTTCATCGAGCAAATTGTAGGACATCTCTTGAAGATTATTCCCAGAACAAGCTCCCCTGACAGAGAGGACAATCACCTCACTTCAAAAAATGAAGGCAGGCTTCACTATAGTAGGAGCAATGATGACCTATGGATGAAGCTCAAGGACCTTCCTGGTGGTGATATCATGAGTAGGATTCGTAAACTCCGCGTATCAAATACACAAATAGCCAAGGGAAGTAATGGGACCATTGTCTTCGAGGGCTACTATGAAAGTCGACCTGTTGCGGTGAAACGACTAGTCAAGGGTCATCATGATAATCGTGTCATCAACGAGATTGAGAATTTGATAGAATCTGATCTACATAAAAATATTGTTCGGTATCATGGAGTGGAGGAAGACCAGCATTTCGTGTATCTTGCTCTAGAGCGTTGTGCTTGCAACTTAGATGATTTAATTCAAGCACATTCAGAATCTTCAAATAAATCTGTCTTCCCTAATGATCCAGCATCAACGGTTGGTTATAAATCCAAATTGGATTCTGTTAGGGATTTGATGCAGGATGTTAAGTTGCGGAGGCCAGATGGACATCCCTTACCTTTCTTACTGGACTTGATGAGGTAATTTTTATGTTTTCATTTGAATTGAGAGATATATGAAGTATGTTGCTTATTGAGGCACTCTAAAAATCAACTCACATATTTGTATTTGTGTTGGGCTTTCCGACATATGTTTTACATGACTCAAAAGCATCTCATAGAGATCATTATCTTTCATGAACTCTTCTTTGCTGGCTCATGTGGGTATTATGGACCTAATAGATCTCCTGCAAAAACTTCCAAGTGATGTATGATTAGCCTAATGCAATTAACTTCGTGGGCTGAGTTTTGAATCTTGCAGCTCTAGGTTAAGTTCAATGTCACTATCAAGGCTAAACTCTTACTTATCTTCCCATGTAAATCAATTAGGTATTATCAACTACATAGTAATAAAAACATTGATTTCCCGTTATGGTAAAATCAATATACCTTCTTTCTTTTTGATTCACGAATGCTAGAGAACCTCTAGGCACTCAAATCAGTAAATGGTGATGTGATCGATACAGTGAACAAAGTCTTTATCGGGTTTTTCATTTAGAGTTTACGCATAGAACCTTCTAATGTACTTCTGGCATCCTTTCTGGGTCTTAGTGTGTTAGAGAAATTCCTTAATTTTCAATAGGATATGGCCTAAAATTTACTTAGGTATTTGATGCGATCGAGTGGCCTAGATACTATTTGGTTCCAAATACATTGTTGGTTTAAGTCTTAATGTCTTCTTTATATTATGATACATGGATGTGGTTTAAGCCTTAATGTCTTCTCTATATTATGATACATGGATGTGGTTTAAGCCTTAATGTCTTCTCTATATTATGATATAGGGATGTGGTATCGGGACTCGCCTCTTTGCATGGCAAGCGAATAATCCATCGGGACTTAAAGCCTCAAAATGTCTTGATTACTAAGGATCCAATATCATTAGTTGCTAAGCTGTGTGATATGGGCATTAGCAAATGTCTTCCTCAAGATAAATCTTCTTTGGGACGTCATGCCACCACTGGTAAGTGATCATGACAGCTTTATTCAGACCTTTGAACTTCTTTTCCTCATGATCGATCTGTGCATAATCTGAATTTTTACGTGGTTATCATCTTTAGATTCTTGGCTAAAACATTCCGACTAATAATTTAACTAGCTAGACCAATCTCTTCTTATAAAGAATATGTTATATTGGAAGTCAGGTTGCTTTGCATTGCTTTTTATGTTGTGGTAAAGTTTGTGGAGATTAACAGTTTTTGCCACTCTCTCCCTTCATTGATTGGTGAATCTATCGTATTCATCTATATATCGTTCCAGTGATGGTGAATTTTTTGTTGATCTCTGATATTTGTCTTGCAGGTTGTGGAACCTCAGGATGGCAAGCTCCTGAACAGCTTGTTCATGGGCGCCAAACATGCGCAATGGATATGTTTAGTTTAGGTTGTGTCTTGTTCTTTTGTGTCACTAGTGGAGGACATCCATTTGGTGAATATCTAGAACGCGACATGAATATTATGAACAAGAAAATGGACCTGTCCTTGGTGGAATCCATACCAGAAGCTCATGATTTGATTTCGCATTTGCTAAACCCGGATCCTCAATTGAGGTGAGAGTGCTATCATCTTTAATTTGCATCACTACCATTTTCATTGGGCTATTTGATAAATTTAGTAACCATTATTAGTTGACTATTTTCCATCTTCTTGTATGCTCAAATCTTATTAGTATGAAAGGTAGCCTGATTTTCGTTGAACTTGGCTCAAATATCTGTCCAGCCGGTGTGGTTCTACTTGATGAGCAAAAAACGTGTAGGTCACATTCATTTCTTTGGGCAAATGACAATAGAAGCCTGAGAAAATATTGACCACGTGATACACTAAATGCTTTTGACAATTGTGATATTCCAATGGAAAATGGTCATTGTCAGAAGCTTGTTATTAGGGCTATAAGTTTCTTACCTGCCCACGAACATAAAAATGCACTATTTAATGGATTCTTGCTATACATCCACTGAAGAGGATTCCGAGAATTTAGTATATGGCGCTAACTATGAAGTTGGAGAATAGCACTCTCGCTTCCCAATCTTTTGTCTTGAAGAATCATAGGGACTGAGTGATTATATTGCTAATTTAAGATATTTGGAGTAAATCATTCCTGGCTTCTTGTCATAGTCAAATAATAGCCTTCATCCTAGAGTCAATAAGTCGTGAAGTGCGTTGAAGTTTTCAGACATTTCGGTTACTCTCTCATTTGAGCTAATGTGCTTTTAATTGTTTTAGAGATTGTACCAATGCCATGTTTGTGACGCATTTGAATTCGAGAAGTCGGCCCCATCTCCGTGTTGTTTGTTTAATTGATTTCTTTGAGCATTTTGGGTTACAATTCATTTTTTGTGATAATTTTCCAAGGGTTGATAGTAAATTGCTTTTAATTACTGGCAGACCAAAGTCATCGGACGTGCTTCGCCATCCATTTTTTTGGAGTTCAGAGAAGAGACTGTCTTTTTTTCGTGACGCCAGCGATAGAATACAAGAGAATGTTGTTGGGGCAATCGGGTCAGATCTTCTGAACGAATTGGAGAGCAAGGCACCACTGGTTTTTGCTGGGAATTGGGACAGCAAAATAGAACCTATATTTATGGCTGAGATACATGGAGGGCGCAGGCGCCCCTGCTACGACTATAGCCGTGTCGGAGACTTATTGCGAGTCGTGCGAAATAAGTTGAGCCACTACAGAGAACTTCCAGAAGATGTTAAGGTACTCTCTGTGTGTGTTGAATTGTTAATGATTTCTGCAGCGGCACATGCATGTAAGGCTTCTCCGGTAACTTTTCAAATCTCGGATTGTATGAACTTGGGCCTCATAGCAAGCCTGTTATTTGCTTTGACGATGGTTTTGGCAGGAACTCGTCGGACCGGTTCCCGAGGGTTATGACAATTACTTTGCTGAACGATTCCCGGGACTCTTGATGCTGTCATATAAAGTGGTATCCCAGTTCTGCAAAGAAGACGAACGCTTTCGGGAGTACTTGGGAAGTGTTGATGCAGTTTAACCCTTTGGCTAAATTACCCACGGTGATTCTTCTTCAATCCAGTCGGTGGTGGCTCAAACATTACAGGTGCATTCCGCCCGTTGTTTTGTTGTGTCTATTTTTCTTGGTAATAGAAATCGAGTTGGACGGCCTTAGGGCCCTTGTTTGTGTATGTAATGTATTGTTGTTCGTATCAAATACTTTTTGCATACTATCACCTCATACTTTAAATGTATAGTGTATTGTTCTTGATATTGCAAATATTATATATTATATTTTATTTCGTGCAATTCCTTTGAATATCGCAATTTATAAATTTATTTTTCTGTATTTTATTGAAAAACTTAATGGCCAGCCCTAGCAGCGACTTTTATTAAGAAAAAGTACTTCCCACCTGTAGTAGTTTAGCAACTTCACCACCTAGTTAGTAATTTTTCATGTGGAAATCTAAATATCAAAAGATAAATATATAGGCTAAGTAGATCTCAAAGGAGTAGGTAACTTTCTCAGTCATAAAATGTCAATCTACTAGCAAGTTAGTAGTTATCTATGAAATAAACATTACTCTGTTAAGAAGTAATTACCCACACGGTTAATGATTTTCCTATGTAATTTCTAACATATCACCGCCTCACCGGTATTGACTTTCTCGTATAGTTGATAAAATTTCTCATTGTAGCTAATAGCTTTGGATATTAAAGTAATGATCTATAAGTGATTAAAATACTGAAAAAAATTGACTTCCATGTATTTCAAAGCCTCTAAAAGAAAAAAAATGGAATAAAAGGCATTAAAAGCTCTAAACCTTATACGTATAAAGTACAATTGATTCCTAATGTTTTTGAGTTAATTGCAATAATACTATATCTTCTTCGAAAAATGCAATATCCTTGCACGGAATGACAAGTTGCCTTGCGGCACTCATAAATTGGCTGCATTGCAACTTTAAATTGTGTTGTTCGATAGAGTTTTACAACTTTTTCTTATAATTAAAAGTAAAGGTCTAGAACTTGATTGCACCAATTAAAATTTCCATTACTTTATTACACTTTTCAATAAAATGTTTAAGATTCCTTTGCATCAATTAAAAAGGCTTATGATTTGAATGCATTTCGTACTTAGAATTTCGGACTTTATGTTGCATTTTTCCGAAAATTAGCTATCAATGAATAAGCAATTACTAACTAAAGTCTCTATAAAATTTCAAATCTCCCTTGTCATAAATCAATCAGCTGCGTCGCCGACGCACGCGGCAAAAAATGTGAAGGCACTTCTTTCACCTACTTTAGGGTATACACATCTAAATACATTGTGATTTGCTGGTTGACCAATTCATTGACGCGCAAGGAGAGGGAAAGGCTACTCTCACTCTTCTCTACTTCACCTTCCACCCTTTTTCAATAATTTTTTCTTAATTTTATTAAGATTATAATTAACTAAGCAGTTAGTAAACCTTGACATGGCACAAAAGAGTATGGTTCGGTATGCTGCCGTATCACAACTTGATTTTGACATAAAAATGGGATATCGCCATCGGGGTTGATTTCTTTTGAATTTTTTCAAGTGTTGAGATTTTGACACGAGGTTGACCTTAAAGCAAAATCGACAAAGTATATTTCATAATAAATGTAACTTTATTCTTCTCTTTTTTCTTCCCTTTCTTCCTTGCTTTTGTTTGTCTTTACCTCGGTATAATCCGAAATGAGGTGTGCTAATTTGAAGTTAATATGGCTTTTTTTTAAAGAGCTCTATGTATTTTCGAACTTATAAAGTCAGGTGATAGTGATTTTTTAATGGAAAAAATAACAAGCAAGTTATTGAATTAAATATGCAGTGTCTTATGGATTTTAACATATTAAAAAACTTTGGGTTAATATCACAAAAAATCTTAAATTGGTGTGATAAATGCACTCGAAATTAATTTTTTAATTATCAAAAACTCCAAAATGGTACATTTGTGGCAAATTTATTCAAAATTTATTTTTTAACCACAAAAAATCTCTAATCGGTACACTTGGGATAACTTTACATTTCGTTAATTTTCGTTAAATTGTATTAATATCATGAAAAATCATAACACGGTGTTTGGAAATAAGAGACGCGTTCTTGCGAAATATAGAACTATTTTTCAAATAAAACAAGACAAAATAACGAATTCTTTTACCTGTTATTATTACAAAACTAAAACCAATTCTTCTCAGTCGTTCGGCCCACGACGCTCTCTCCCTCTCTCGCGCCTAATTGCCCTAATTCCCCTTTCTTCACACCTCGCGCAGCTTCGTCGCTCACTCTCAGACTCTCTTCCACTGAACATTTGAAGAAGAGCGACGGCTTTTCAGGTACCATTTGGTCTTTCAGGTTCGGCCTTTCTGGGTTTTGCTTTCTGCTGCGCGTCTCTGAGTATTCTTTTTCGTTCTCCGCTTTGGTCGGTTGCGTCGAGTTCCTTGGGTCCCTGGCTGTGGATTAGGTTTCGGGTTCTGGGTACTTTGCTGTAACTGGCCGGAGTTTCCAGATCCGCGACTGTTCATGGGTTGAATGTCTTGAGCTTCTTTCGGGCACGAAAATCTTAATCTGTTCTCAAGGGTTGACATTATGAACGCTCATTTGAATTTGATGTTTCTCTGTGTTGCTTCTCTTGGATTTGTTTGTTTACTGCCTATTGTTGTGAGAAATGCTGGCCATACGTGTAGCTAGAGACTGCTGCTGTGTCGTCTCCTTTTCAGGACAGTTTTTGATGGATATGTTTTCTTAGTTCGTGCACTGTGGACTGTACACACAGGCTTCTATGTTTTTGATGTATATGTTTCCTATTCCCTAGGAAAAAAAATTATAATGGCCATTCTTGGATCCACCCGGGAACCAGACCGGGTCCGGTCTGATATGGGCATTAGTAAATGCCTTCTTGAAAACGAATCTCCCTTGGGATATCATGCCATCATTAAGTACACCATGACAACTTTATTCAGACCTTTGATCTTCTTTTCCTCAAGATTGATATGTGAAGCTCCAGATTCCTGTCTAAAAAATTTAGACTGATAATTTACTTGTTAGACCAATCATTTCTTTTAAAGAGTACATTGTGTTGGAAGTCAGGTTGCCTTGTATTGCTTTTTATTTGTGGTAAAGTTTGTGGAGGTTTAACGCCATTGCCTCTCTTTGACGAGTGAGTCTATCATGTCCATACCGGTGATAATTGATCTCCGATGTTTGTCTTGCAGGATGTGGAACCTCAGGATAGCAAGCTTGTGGAACCTTGGATGGTAAACACCAGAACTGCTTCTCTATGGGTGCCAAACACGCACAATGGGTATGTTTAGTTTAGGTTGTGTTTTTGCATTATTCGTGGAGGACATCCATTTGGTAAACGTCGTGACATAAAAATTGAGATCACCATAATAGACTTGTTCTCGGTGGCATACATAGCAGAATCTCATGATCTGATTTTCGCATTTACTAAAGTCAGATCCTAAATTGAAGTGAGATTGCTGGTGCATCACTGTCATTTTCATTGCGCTGTATGATAGATTTTTGTAACCATCTTTTGGCTTAAATATCTGTTCCTTTACTTGATGAGCAAAAAATGGTTAGATATTTAAGCCAAGTTTGACAAAATTCAGGCTATTTTTAATACTCATAAGATTTGAGGATCAAGAAAATGGAAATTAGTCAAATAACAATGGTTACAAAATCTATTAAATAGCGCAATGAAAATGGCAGTGATGCAAATTAAAGATGACAATACTCTCACCTCAATTTAGGATTCGGGTTTAGTAAATGCCATATCAAATCACGAGCTTTCGGTATGGACACCACCAAGGACAAATCCATTGTGTTGTTCTCAATTTTGATGTCGCATTCTCGATATTTACCAAATGATGTCCTCCACCAATGATGCAAAGAAAAGTACACAACCAAATGTTGTTTGGCGCCCACCAGGAAGAAGCAGTTCAGGTGCTTGCCATCCGAAGGATCCACAACCTGCAAGACAGACATCAGAGCAGCTATCACCACTAGGACCATATATTGATTGGGAAACGAGTATTTATAATGAATCTTGATTTGGAAACATACAGATGAAGAGCTTAACAGAGGAGTGTAAGTGCAATTCAACCAAAGTAGGGGTAGTTCAATAGGAAACAACTGGCTTTTGTAGAAGGGTCATGTAGCATCAGTTTGGAGTTGTCCTCATGTTGTTCCTTATTTAGGTTTCCCCCGCGAATTTGAGTTGTTCTGTTGTGTCATCTGAAAATGTGCCACCCAGCTTCTTGTGGCACCTGACATAATATGAAAATATCCTTTGCATGTTAAACCCAGTCCTAATAATTATTTTTCTCCTCTGTCGTCTTGATGATCTTACCGTGTCTCATTTCATTTTGTGTTAAAGAATTTCCTGTCAATTTGGTATTGCTATCAATGCCTTCGAGTAGGATTTCTGTTCCTAGCTGCTAGTTAATCAATTATTGGTAGAGGGCACACGACCACCTTGTTCACACTTGCCTTCATTGATCTTAAATGTCTAATTAATGGAAAACATCAGTTGGTTCAGATGTCTTGTTGGTTTAAGTCCTAAGATCTACTCAAGGTTATATCATACAGGGATGTGGTCTCAGGGCACATCCATTTACATCGGTTGGGAACGATTCATCGAGACTTAAGCCTCGAAATGTTTTTATTACTAGGGAATTATGTGCTAAGTTATCTGATTTGGGCAGTATAGACTCTTCCCTGGGATACATCTTCCTCAGAATATCATGTCACTGTAAGTGCTCTTGACAGCTTTACCTGGACCCTCGATCTTCTTTGCATTTGAGATTGATCCATGCAGGTCTGAATCTATTAGGTGATACTATAACCATCAGTTGTATAATTTCAACTGTAAGAGCTGTCTTTTTTTCTAAAGAAGACCTTATATTGAAACTTTGCTGCCTACATTGTGGTATGATTTTGGAGATCTAACGGTTTCTGCCGCCGTCTCTTTTGATTGGCCATTGAATCCGTAATGCCACCTCTGTATCTGTCTGAGTGACAATGGCTCTTTAACAAATTTAAATACCCGATGTCTATCTTGCAGATTGTGGCTGATAGGGATTGCAAGTGTCTGAACACCTTTGTCCTGTGCAGCAAACATGTTTAGTTGATGTGTTTGGTCTTGGTTGCATCTTGTTCTTTTGCGTCACTGGCGGAAGACATCCATTTGGAGACAATCCAAAGGGCGATAGTAATATCGAGGATAATTCGATGGATTTGTCTCCCGTGGAATTTATGCCAGAAGTCACAGATTTGTTCACACGTTTACTGAACCCCCATCCTGACCTGAGGTGAGAGTACTGCCATAGAATTTGCATGATCTCTCTTCCTTTCTAACCTTCAGTGGATTTTGTGCAAGTCATATGTAGCACTCAAATTTCTGTGTATCCGTTCCTTCTAGAAGTACGACGACCAAACAACATTGAACCATAAATGCCATTGATAGTCATACATGTTCCAATGTAAGCCAATTACATGTAAAACCGTGGTCAGTTAGCTGCTGCAACTTGTCAGTACTCGAAAATGCACACGCCAATCATTACTAATGTAATATTTAGGGGACTGAATGATTCTCAGGGATTTTAACTATGTTTCTCGCTAGAATAGTAGGTTAGAGAAACTTGGTTTCATTTTCTAATTTTTCGACGAAGATGCTTAGTGAATTACTGAAGTCGGTCTATCTCCTACGGCCAAACAACAAAGACATCTGCATTCTGAACTCTTCTGATGTCTGGCAGGCCAAAGACATTGGAGATGCTTCACCATCTACATTTTTGGAATTAAAAGACGAGACTGTCCTTTCTCCAAGACATCAGCGACTGGGTAATATTGAAAGCTAGGGGAACTAATCCTGATCTTCTGGAAAAATTGGAGAGCATTGCTTGGTGTGTTTTCGACGAGGAATGGAACGGAAAGATAGATAGTGAAGTCATTAAGCATATGCGTAGGTTCAGGGCCTACTAGTTTGAAAGAGTCAGGGACTTGCTGCGAATAGTGCGAAACATGTTTAGCCATTCCATAGGACTTCCACCGAAAATTCAGGTATGTTTCTACTTTCCAGTGCAACTACTGCAGGAAAATTTCGCATCTACGATGACAAGGACATTACTGATTACATTACTATCACCAATACGTGAAGTCATTACTTTATATTCAAAATTATCTATCTACTTTACAGTCATTAAACACGTCTTCTGGTGAACTATCGCTGTAAGGTTACATGTGATTGCTGCAGCTGAATCTCGGCAAGGCTTATAGAGTGAATGTATCCGCGAGCAGTAGTGTGGACTTTGTGGCTCAAATTCAATATTGTTCTGATGGTTGGTTGTGGCAGGAGATAGTTGGATTGTCTCCCGAGGATTTGGACAGCTATATCGTGAAACGATTCCCCAGACTCTTGATTGAAACGTACAGATTCATCTCCATGCGCTGCGAAGATGAGGAACGCTCTCCCTTTCTGGAGTACTTCAACTGGTGATCCCAATGGTTTATTAACAATGAACTTGGCAATAATTCGGGTCGATAAACACAATTTGCAGGATGGTTGATTTCGGCATCGTGCGTACCAAGACGAAACATAAACATTTAGGAAACCTGTGTAAATGTTTATATGATGTATATGGTTTGTGGTAAATTGCTATCTAGAGGTGATGGATTCATGCCTGTATATGCCCGAAAGAGAAGACAGAATTTTCAGAACACGTTGACCCACTTTCCATTAGCGTAAGATATATCATACTGTAATTTCTGCTGCAAATGTTATTTTTTGACTGAACAAAATGGACTTAATCCAAAATAAAATTGAGTGATAATTTACATTAAGATTAATATACTAAATGATGCGACAGATTTCAAATATTCGAGTTACCAAGTGATCCATGTTGGACTGTGCGAGTGTTGACCAACTGCTTGAATTGGGTTGAGCGCAGGGCTTAAAAATATTGAATTTTCTGATTAATATCGCAAAAAATTCCAAACTATTACATTCATATAACATTTATCATAAACTAATTTTTGTGTCGCAAAAAAATCTAAATTGATACACTCGTGACACGTTTAGTCTAAATTAATTTTCATGTCATGTAAAATCCCAAACTAAATCTACCCTCCATTAACTTTTGTCAAGTATCTCGTAAATTGTGATGTGAAAACACGCATGTACAACTTGGATGATCAGCATGTGACGAGAATCCAATGTGGAAATTCAACATAAATGGGTTCCCTAAATGATGTCATTTTCAAGAAGTCAAATGTGAAGAACTGAACTGAGATTGGGATATCCGCAAAAATATGCTAATTTTGCTTAAGAGCTCTCTCACGTTTTGAAAATTTGCTAAAACTTCCAATTTTGCCTTAAGATTATGGTAGTCATACCGGTTTTGGATTTTTTGAGACACGAAAATTATTTTGCGGTAATTGTGGCACAAGTACACTAGTTTAGGATTTTTTCGTGATATGAAAATTAATTTCAGATAAATGTGATGCGAGTGTATTAATTTGATTTTTGTTGTGCTGTTAATCCCAAATTTTCTTCGCAGAAACAATCCGACCTAAGCGATACTTAGCGGGCTGGCTTGAGCCTTCGAAGAAAATCGATTCCCATTCTGTTGTGGCAATTCGGTGGAGTATGTTTCTGTATGTTGCCATGATGTGAGCTTGGTTCTTTTTTGTATTAAGAAGTTATGCCACAGTTTCATAGGATCTGTATGGTCAAATGGCATAATGCGGTTGGTCATTATAGGGTTCGAGCAGAGTATAAGTCTTCAGACGTGCATGCGTCTGGCGAGAAGAAACTGCTTATTTCTCTTGTGTTTCGAGTTTTAAATTTGAACATGAGTCGAATCTGCCGCATTAGGGGCATTTAGTCTAGTTAGTGAATTTTGCGAGGACAAAAACCCTGCATATGAGGGGAAGAGCAGAAGGGATCAGAGAAAGCGAGAGATGCTCACGATCAGGTCCAATGGTGATGCTTGCGTTTCCTGAAAGCACACCGCCGATATCAGAGGATCGAACGGTTCATCTTGGATCTTGGAGAAGCACCGTGTTCGAAGTTGATTCTCTGACTGGAAGACTGGTACGCGTCTATGGTTCATCAGATTTTCCGTCTGCCTCTAGAAACGACATGGAAGAGAGACGAGGTACTGTTTTATTTGTTAATGATGCGAAGGATTTCGCAAAGTCGAACTCTAACAACGAGCAGCCTCGTCCGAGGACCACTGTTCTGCTCTGATTTCCGATAAGGTTTCGTGGAGCTTGTCCCTAGCTGAAACAGAGGCTTCCTTACTTGGTGAAGAAGACAATGGTCATTCCGGTAGTGCACCTCCTGTTGATTCGAGATATAGACTTGGTTGGGAATGTGGAGACCTCTTTACTATGCAATTCTCTTGCTCTTGTCCGCCTATTGTCGTTCACGTTCGAATTTGTCAGATGTACAATTCATCTTCTAGACCTTCTCAGCCTGAGATTGGTCGATCCTTGAGTTTTGAGCCCAAGAAAGTGAGGCTTCCTTCTTCTGATCTCATGCTTCATCAGCAACTGAAGATGGATATTATGGTAAGGTTGCAAAACGAGGATATGCTTTTGATGTGATACTGTCACTACCTGCTCCAGAGATCCATAATTCACGAGTTGTCTGTCGGTCGGGCTTACCATACAGCCTTCTACGGCGATATTTCGTGCATCTCTTTTGAGCAGTCAGAAGCTTCATCTGTCATATTGATGATCTTTTTTATCATCGACTGGTTTGTCTACTATTCCGTTCAAGTGCCAAACGAACAACCGAAGCTGTTGGGGAATTCTCGTAATAATTGGATTCGGAAAAAGAAGATGAGAAAAATGCTTCCTTCGGACACCTATCATATTTGCATGCTTCGACTAGTGGACACTTGGAAATAGGTTACATGACTAAGCAAATTGCACGTCCATTACTGCCAAAGAAGTTTATCCTATAAATATGAGTATTAGTGGAATTTATTTGGCCTTCTTGAAATTGAGAAATTGGCACAAAGGGATGTAGCCGAATTTGGAAAACAAAAGAAAAGAAAACGAGAGAGATTTCAAGTTCGTCAAACTCAAAGTAGCTTTTATTGTTTGGTTTTGCAAATCTCTTTTTTCAAATTGTAAACTTATGTCAGTGATTAGATTTATTATAAGTAATGAAAGGCATAGCACGGCATGATAATATAGAAAGAGAAATTTTTTTGTTGCATACATTTTAGATCGGGCATTTACTACCATTTTGATTATTTGAAATGACATAGAAAAACATTTCTTGAAAATAATTATGAATTGATTAATTGTGAAATGTTCTTAAAATGCTTTTATGAAAGACTTGCAAAAGGTTATATGTAGTAATTGTGAACCTGGTTATATAATGTATTATGTTTTGAAAGGTTATATGTTTTATTTTGTGAAACCGATTTATGATATAGATACTAAATTGGTTTTGTGGATTTTGGGATGATGTTAGTAGATTTATACTCATTATCACTGTGAACCCCATTGAGGAGTTTGTAATTATGCATGTTATTTCAGGATATCTTTCTAAGCTGAACCACCGACTCATATAAGTGGAGACATAGCAAAGAGGAAACTTGGTTGCCTCTGTCACAGGGCGTTAAGCATGACGCAGTTGAATATTAGGAAGTAGATTGATTAATAGAATGGACCATTGATGTTTAATTTGATATTGTTGATGAATTAAGTATTTTCAATGTGTATAAAACTCAATTGAAATGAAATAATTCATATTTGATTTGGGACGTATACCATAATCTAGTTCGGATTATTGAGTTTATGGTATTTTTTTATAAATATGCACGGTAGATGTTCAATTTGCTTATAAGAGATATGTACTACTCATTATACCATTGATCTTAAATACTTTTCAAGTTGTTTAGCTAGCGGCAAGTATGACGAGGAATTTTGGGTAACTAAATTTTGGGTGTGAGTTGAGATAGTTAAATATATGTTTGATATGGTATTTGTTGATATTTAGTTTATTAGTTTTGAAAGTATATATCCATATTACTGTTTTCATTATACATATAGAAGGATGTACATATATTTTAATAGTATTGTAATGGTTATATTTGAAGTTGCGTGTTCTTTGAGTAGCAAAATGGCCATATCATTTCCCCTACTAGAGTAAGGATCTTGGGATGCGACAATTCTAATTTCAAAATAATCTGGAAAGCATATGTTTCGAGGGAACGACGAAGCAACCACGTTAATGTTAGGAGTGACGATGAGGACGATCGTAATTTGGAATAGCCAATAATCAATGGTGGATAGCGAGGTTAAAACTTAAAAGAAAGGGTGAACCCCTGAACACAAAAAGGAAAACGACGATCGAAAATGAAACCCCAAGCACCTCTTCTCCGCCTCCGTCTCCTCCCTCGCCCTCTCCGCCTCCATCTCTCCCGCGTTCGTTAGCAGATCCAGCGACCTGCTCAACATACTCGACGACTCGGAAGGCGTCACGGACCGAGATCCGGCGATCCAAGGCCACGATTCCGTCGACATAATATGTTGAGGTCGTTTGAACTCAACGTTTTGCCTAGCCTACAGGAACCACCTTCCAAGAAGAAGAAAACGGGCAAGCCTTCTTCAGAAAACGAAGGTAGGCTTGACAATAGTAGGAGCAATGATGACTTATTGTTGATGGGAGAGACTGTATTTGTTTTGGATCCGCCTATTCTACCTTTTCCGATTGAGCTAGAGAGTAATGGCAGTTCAGAGGACAATCACGTCTCTTCAGAAAACGGAGGCAGGCTTGACAATAGTAGGAGCAATGACGACTCTTTGTGGACGGTAGGGACTTAAATTTTATCAACCGGTACCTTGCAATGTTTGAATGACGACTCTTTGTTGACGGTACGGACTGAACCTTTATCACCCGGTACCTTGCAATGTTTGAATGATTTTCTCACTCCCATTTTTGAGCTAGAGAGTAATGGAAGTCCCGACAGAGAGGACAATCACCTCTCTTCAAAAAAATGAAGGCAGGCTTCGCTATAGTAGGAGCAATGATAACCTATGGATGAAGCTTAGGCTGCGCATGGCAACCATTTTGTGCCCAAAATCTGATTATGGGCAGAAATGATTCTTTTTGATTTTGTGTCCGAAAATAATTTCTAAGCATTTAAAGGCGTTTGGTAACTGCCCAAAATTTTTGTTCTTAGAATAGAAAAAGAGCAGAAATGCGTTTCGTAACTACATAAAATTTCTTTTTATTAATAATATTTTGAATTTTTTAATATTTATTTCTTTTTTTTCCTTTTTTTTTCTTTCTTTCCCCTTCCTTTCTTGGCCATGGCCGGCCGCCGGCGACCGACCACAGGCCAGGGCCGGCGAGGGCGTTGCGGCCCTCGTCGCCGCCCTCGCCGATGGCGACGGCGAGGTCAGCCTCGCCTTGGCTGGGCGAGGCCGTGAGCCGCCCTCGCCGGCCCTGGCCTGTGGCCGATCGCCAGCGGCCGGCGGGTTGCGGGGTCAAAGAACAACAACAACCAAAAAAAAGAAAAAAACCAAGAAGAATCAGTTTTGAAAAAATTGTTT